TTTTTTTTTTTTTTTTTTTGCGGTATGCGGGCCTCTCACTGTTGCGGTCTCTCCCGTTGCGGAGCACAGGCTCCGGACGCGCAGGCTCAGCGGCCATGGCTCACGGGCCCAGCCGCTCCACGTCATGTGGGATCCTCCCGGACCGGGGCACGAACCCGTGTTCCCTGCATCGGCAGGCGGACTCTCAACCACTGCGCCACCAGGGAAGCCCACGTATGGTACTTCTAAAAGCACATCCAGAGGCACCATCCCGTCCTGTGCCACCATCACAGCTGTTTTTGTGGCCTTACGTTTGGAGCCACAGGAGCAATTAGCTTTCTCAGGGAGGCGATGTTTTGCAGCCTGGATCGCTCACCTCCTCGCCGCCAGGCAGTGTTCACCTCACCTTTTCCCGGCTCCTTGATCTGGTTTGGTTCCTTCTGCGTCTTCATTATCTTGAGCCTACTTGGCATTCGCAGTGACTGCTGTCTTCTTTTTCTGGGCTTTCTTATAATTAACTGAACCACATCTGCCGACGCCAGCTAGAATATGTCTGTGAAAAAGGAACGGTGATATGTTTGTGCTTTACAGGTTTTGATGGGCAAATAGGCTTTTTCGAGCATACAGAGCTAATGTGTGTCAGCCAATAAACATTTATCAAGAACTCACTGGTTTTGGAGCATTACCTGAGAGTCTGAGAATAATGAAGTAAACAAAGCCTTCCTCTTGGCCAAGTCAGGCAAACTCCCCCAGCGAGGAAAACCTCCTGCTCCAAAGCAATGTTTAATAGAACATCTGGCTCCTGAGGGACTTGAAGGGTCAGCTGGCCCAATATCTGAGGTCCAGAGAGGGAAAGGGACGCATGCAGGGTCACACAGCAGAGCCTGGTTTCTGGGCTCAGTCCACTAGTTTCTGCACTAAGCCTCCAGAGAGGACACACTGTGTTCCAAGGACTGAAGATTAGGAGAATGGCCACAGTGGCCGGGACCAAATCAGGGGTGGCTTCTTGAAAGATGTACGTGTTGAGCCAGGTCTTGAAGGTAATGTGGGGTGGCCCACAAATGAGAAAGGCCCTTTCCTTAGGAGACTTTCTAAGTCCTTTGTGTGAGATTTCAATAAAGCATAGCAATTGTCCTCTTGCGGTTTTGTCAACTCCAAATGCACAGGAAATAACACCTTTTCCTGGAGGTCTGCCTTCAAAAGACTTCATTTTCTGTTTTACTGATTATGACTAGTCTCTATGTGATTAAATCAGTCTCTTGTAGTGCACAGTGGGAGGATAGTTAAGTCTCAGAGGTTTGGAATCTGATCAGAGACCCTTCTCTATTCTACGGCTGTAATTCCCCTGTCATTTCTTTTTTTTTGACTGAATATATATATACTTTAATGACAGAAAAAAATTAGATTTCAGCCATTTGTAAAATACTTGAATTTATCCTACATACTCAAAACATTCAACCATTACTTTACCACTCATAATTTTTCAGTTATTATTTAATGTCTATAGGTTTACTTATTTCCTATTTCTATAATATCTGCAAACATTTAGATACCAGAGATATTTTTTAAATGTTTAATCCTATATATTTACTGCTTATATTCTTTAATGAATAAATCATCTGCAAAGGTGTTACTAGAATTTTTTGCTTCCAATAATGTCAGATAACATTCAAAACACTTCAGAGGTTTAAAATCCTACAGAGTATATTTTTCTGACCACTCTGTAAATCACACAATACTTCTACAACAACACCATAAATTCAGAAATTAAGGAGACTACTTCTAAATTACCCACAAGGTAAAGAATAAGTATGAAGGATATTAGAAAATATTATGAATTGAAAACTTGCTTTTCCAAAATTTTAATATGAAGCTTTAAAATTAATTTATTGCTCTTTTTAAACTTTAGATAAGTGTTTATGTAATTAATTTTCAAGAAAAAATGAAAAGAATGAAATACAATGAGGTTATGAGGATCTATCTGTCTTTTTTTCCTCTCCTCTATACTGTGAGCTCGCTGAAAGCTTACGAAACTATTAATTTGTGACACGTTGTGAGTGCTCGCTAAATGTTGATTACCCTTGGGAACGAATGCATTTGTAAATTAAGAAATTATTCACTGTGACAAAATGCATCATCTTGATTTACATTTTAGGCTGGAAACATTCCTTTGGTTAAAACAGTGACAGTCTTTCCAATGAGGTCATTGTGTGGCAGCGTTCATTTTCCTTACCTCTCCCAATGTCTAACCAGCGCTTGATCTGTGTGGTAGGTCCCTGCGTCTGGGCTGCAAGGGCTCCCTCCCCTCGACCCACCCGATGTCACCCAGATCTACCCTGTTCCTGCCAGCATCCGGCCAGTGCTGAGTAAATACCAAGTGGAGGTATGGGGCCCGGAAGGACTGGGTTGTTCTTTGGGACTAAAGGGCACTGGTGCTTTGCAATCATGCCTGCACTGTGTCAGGGGACTTGAGGGGTGGGAAGGAGACGTGGCTGATCGGACGGAGCCACAGGGAGCTGCCCCATCCTTTCCTGGAAGAACATCCTGTGGTTCTCAGGCTGGCACAGCTGACGTTCCCACACCTGAGCCACACCTGCTGGCGCCTCCCTGGGCCTTTGTGTGGCAGCCCTGCCATCCTCTCTTCAGGTTCTCTTCTGGGGAGTCCGGGAAATGAAGAAGGTGCAGCTCCTCTCGGTGGATCGTCCCCAGGTCCTCATCGAGTGTGGCGGGCATGGAGTCAAGTCCTGTGTGATCCAGAGCTACCAGAACAACCCAAACTTCAGCGTCCAGGCAGATGCTTTCGAAGTGGTGCGGGTCTCTCCCCTCCCCTGCCCCACCCGCTCATTCCCTTCATCTCCATAGATGCGACCCACTCCTTCCTGAACCTGACTTGGGGAGATGTTTCAGAGTTTCAGGTGCCCCACTACTCACAAGAAAGAACAGTTTAATTCAGTAAAAAGCCAGAATTGCAGAATGGGATAAAACAGACTTTTGTTGTTGTTTTGTTTTTAAAGGTTCTGGGTGTAGATCGTATAGTAAATTAAAGAAGGTGACAGTGGTTCCCAAAGTGCGGCCCCCAGTTTATCAGCATCACCTGGGAACTTATTATAAATGCAGAGTCTCAGGCCCTGCCCCAGAACTACTGAACCAGAGACTGTTGGGACTGGGGGATAGGGCCCAGACACCTCTGGTTTGACAAGCCCTGCAGGTGACTCTGATACACACTGGAGTTTGGGAACCACTGGCCTGGAAGACACTGTCATGGAACTTACTACAATGGTTAGAGTTTTAAAAAATTATTTGTACATAGCGTGTCAAAAGCAATGTTTGACACCTGTGCTTTTGTTTATTTCTGTGCTCTGATTTGGAACCAACTGTGAAGTCAAAGTTTGCTTTGTCTAACCCAGTCAGTTCCAATGGACACAGATTCTGAATCAAGAAGGACTAGAATTAAAGAATGTGTACTGTGTTTGCAAACCTTCCAAATCAGACTTTGTTGAGCCTCGGGGTCCACCAGGGTAAAGAAATGGATGGGGCACTGGCCCCTCACACTCAGCTCCATCTTAAATGGCTCAATTCTCATCTGCTTTATATCTTGGGTCTGGATTAATGTTCATCTGAGATGAAAGTTCGGATAAATACAGTAATGACAAAGTAAGAGGATTGAAGCCTACTGCCATGGAGAACTTGGGAGTGTGTGATTTTTGCAGTTTATACCTGGGGTGAATCGTTAGTACCATCCCTCATATGTTGGGTAATGACTCCCTGGCTTGAGAAGGCATTGCTCCAGACTCTGGCAAGCTGCAGGGGTGACCTGTAGGGAAAGGACAGGCAGGGACAGAGGAAGGATGGGTACCTGGCTCGCTTTGGTCCTACACCCAGACAGGTCAGCCCAGGCAGTGCCCCACTTCACCCCAGCCTCTCCCTGCAGGAGCTGCCTGAGAATGAGCTGCTGCACCCACCCCTGAGCATCTGCGTGGTGGACTGGAGAGCCTTTGGGAGGAGCACCCTCGTGGGCACCTACACCATCAACTGCTTGAAACAGTTTTTGTGTAAATCCAGGGAGCCCCTTGCCCTCACCTCACAGGTGGATGGAGCCCAAGTTGTGCAAGGTAGGAAGCTCCGTCTAGATTCTAGCGCTGTGGGCTACAAAACCGTGGTGCCTGCAGGATCTTTCTGAAGAATTTCCTGCGGTCCCCTCTACTTCTTTTATTTTTTATTTTTGGCTGCGTTGGGTCTTTGTTGCTGTGCGGGGCTGTTCTCTAGTTGCGGCGAGTGGGGGCTACTCTTCATTGTGGTGCGCGGGCTTCTCATTGCGGTGGCTTCTCTTGTTGCGGAGCACGGGCTGTAGGTGCGTGGGCTTTAGGAGTTGTGGCGCACCGTCTTAGTTGCTCCATGGCATGTGGGATCTTCCTGGACCAGAGCTCGAACCCATGTCCCCTGCATTGGCAGGCAGATTCTTAACCACTGTGCCACCAGGGAAGTCCTGACCCAATGTACTTTCATTTTGGCTATTTCAGATTCATTAATTTCCACTGAGCCTTCTGAGACCCCCAGCTCTGCTCAGCAGCTCCCAACAGATCAAATCTTTGTGGATATTGGGCCGCCTCCCACAGTGGTACCTGACTTGGCCCAGGTTCAGGCAGCCAGCCTGGTGGATATCCCTGACCCATCCCCGATGCTGGAGACGGAACACAAACCTGCAGCCCAGGAGCCACCAAAAGACAGAAAAGCTAAGGTCGGAATGTCATCCCTCTTCATATTCACAAGGCACATTAGAGTTTGCTCAGAGGTTTTAGACACTAATCCTCCCACCTACTAGCTGTGTGACCACGGCAAGCAACTTCACATTTCTGAGCATTAGTTTCTTCATCTGTAAAACGGGGACACCAATACCCACTTCACAGCATTGTCATAGAATCAGATAAGTCAGTGTATGTGAAATTAAAGTGCTGGTCAAATGTGACAGCAGTATTTAATTGAACAGAAACTCTTAATTCATTAGCTTGGAAAAACAATGGTTTCCTCATCAAGGCTTATTCCACAAATATTTTGAACCTACTTTGTACAACGTCACGTGGGACCAAAAAGATGCGTCTTCTGGTCTAAATAAAAGTGAGACTTATCCTCAGTTAGCTGAGATTCTGGGAGGGGAGACGGATAAGTACACAAGACCATAAAATGGGGACATGAGTAATCTTCTAAGTCATAGTTTTAAGGGCAAAATCCTGGTGTATCTAGCAACTGACTTAAAGAAGAAAGCAGGTTTAAGAAAGTCCTAAGAGATGACCTGCCCAGCAAATTATAAAAGCTGAAATAAAAGGCACAGTATGGTAGATGAATGGCTATTTTCTCAGGCTCTTCCCATCTCATCCAGGCTCAGCGTGACTCTCTGACAGCCCATGGGGTTCTCTCCATCCCACCAGCATTGTACCTGCCACTTTATGTTGCAAATTTCAGTTTGTTTGTTGCCACCATAAAACTGTGGGCTTCACCAGGTCATAGATGATTTTTAAAAATATCTCTGTATCCCCTGCACTTGTTAGAGTGGCTGGCACATTGTAGATACCTGAGAGATGTCTGAGAGCAAATGGATGATAAGTACACGATAAATTTGGCATGACACAACTTTCTCCCCAAATGCTTCCCTTCTGCCACGTATGCATCACACTGCTTCTCCTATCCCCCCATCACTTATGTTGTAGGTGTCATTTATTTGCATCTGTTCAAATCAGAAGTGATGCTAAAGGGGGATTGTCTACCTATGTCACTTAATCCTCATGACAGTGAAGTGAGCAGGTATTATTGTTCCTAGTTGAGGAAACTGAGAATCATAAAATCATAAACGTTTATATTATGTTTAGAAGCTAATTCCTTTTCTACTATATCACATTGTATCATGTAGCCTGCTTGTCTCCTGCACTGAATTCGAAGCTTCCCAAAAGTAGGGATGATGTCTACCCCTTACATCCCCAATGTCAACCACAAAATCTCATACCTGCTTGATAAATGTCAAATAAACTCATTAATGGATGACAGATTATTAAACTTTTATTGATTTAAGAGGGACAGAGAGCTGCAATCACAAAACCTGCTGACACCTCCATCCACTTCCCCGAGGGTACCTACATGTCCTCTTCCTTAGTAAACCACTTAGCCACCAGCATGCAGATCCTTGACACCTAACAATCCATCCTTCATCCCTTGCCAGGATGCCAGGAGACCTTCTCGGAAGTCGACTAAAAGGAGAAAGAGGACCATAGCGGATGAATCTGCTGAAAACGTCATTGACTGGTGGTCGAAATATTATACCTCCCTGAAGAAAGCACAGAAGGTAGACTCTCTCCTGGCTGTGACAGTCAAGGCTTCGATAAGAGCACAGCACCATTTAGCACTCTCCCCCACCTCAAATCCTGCATTGTCCCCTCTTTTAAATTCCGCTATAGGTAGGCCCTACTTGGGTGTGGTTCTGTTAACTGCTGAAGGGTTCAAAGCCTGAAAGGACCAAGGGTCCAGTACTGCCAAATCCTCACTGTCTGGCTGGAGCTGGCCCTAGGACACAGGCTCTGCTGTAAATGCTGGCAGGATGTGCAGTCTATCATGGCATCCAGGGAATCTGCCCACCTCAGGGAGGTCTAGCCAAGAGAAATGGGTCTCTGGACATGTGGGCATCAGCGAAGGGGGCTTCAGGTTCACCTGGAGATTCCAGGTCAAAGGGCTCCAGGTCTCCAGCAGATTTCTAAGTTCATATGGGAAATTATCAAAGTAAAGGCAGAGGTCTTGGCCTTAGCAAATGGGAATAATCAGCAGGGTCTCATGCACATGGAATAAGAAAGGGATTGAGTTATAAAGCCAGAGAGCCAGTGGGGAGTGGGTCTGGAGACACAGGCAAAGGCTCAGTGGCCGAATCTGGTAAGAGTTCTCATCCCTGAGTAAAAATGGGAAGGAAAGTTGTTCAGATGCTATCATCATATTTTATTGAGTAGCAACTCTTCTGATTCTTTATTTGGAAAGACCATAATTTCTTCATCAAGGACTATCCGCGAATATTGACATATAGTTAAATAAATAAACTAAGTGTTAATCCCTGCTTCCAAACGCCCTCGTTTTACTCCAATGGACACTACCACTTCTGGTGAGTGTTCAGCCCTTTCCTCTCGCTCTGCTAACCTCCCCAGTCCCAGGACAAACCCAACAACCCAACATGCCAGCCCATAAAACTCATAGTTGCAGATTGAGGTGATGCTCCAGGGATGTGGAAGAACAGTGGGGAGAGGGGTTGCTTTCCCAGCAGCTGAGAGGAGGCTGCACACAGAGGACGAGGACGGCCACAGTTTGGTGGCACTGGTTTTGGAGGTGTGGGCGCCTCTTCTTTAGGGCAGGGCATCTCCCTGCACTTAAGTCCTAGGTCTTTACAGTGAGGCTTCATCTGGGGGCTACTGAGGACTGTTTGCGTATTCTTTTAAAATGCAGAGGGCTGAGATAATTGAATGAGAAATGTTAGCAGTCAGGGTTAATAAGTGAGACAAGACAGTGTCCATCATCTCGTCTCCCTCTTTTCTCAAAGGAAAAGGAGAGCAATTCCAAGGAGCAAACAGGCAACACAGGTAAGTGGCTGTTCTGGGGACATTTGAACATGCATTAAGGCCATGTGAGTGAGCAAATGTTAAAATGGGAGCCATGGGCGCAACACTGGAGCCCAAAGCCCTCATTTCCCTAGTGAGGAAATAATCCCAGGAAGATGACGACACTTGAAAGAGGTCACATAGCTGATTTGAGCTGGATGGAGACCAGATCCCAGGTCTCCTGAGTTCAGTTGAGTGCTGAAATCGACCCTTTGGCTCAAGTCCCTATGTTGACAGTCTTAATGCAGAAACAGCAGAGTAAAACTAGGAGCAAGCTGGGACGACAGGCCAAAGCCAGCACAATAAACTTTAACACAGGTGACCTGGATTTAGCTTCCAAAACTCAGTTGACAAGGTTTGGGTAGATCTGGTTTGGCAGAAGCTCAAATGAAGAGCCCTGGGATTTGAGATGACCACAAACTTGATGTAAACCAACGGTAAGTCTTGGCCTAAAAACAACAGTAACACCAAGTGCTGTTTCAGGTGGCACAAAAAGTGAGAAAACCAGAGCCAAGCTCAGTTCCTCAGGCCACTCCTACTAGCATATTTAATTCTAAGACCAACCCCATGACATAAGCAATCGTATCTTGATTTGCAGATAGTAAAACAGAAGTACAAAGAGGCTGAGTAACTTGCCCAGGTTTATGCAGCTAGAAAATAGTGGAGCTTGGGTGATTTTTCTCCAGCATCTGCTCCTAAAAAATTACTGAATAATCTAAGTACGTTTGTGACATTGTGTTAGACCCTTAGCATATTTGAGCATGAGGTTGTTGAACTAGATGATTCTCAAGTTCCTAAACAGATCTGAGAGGGAATGTATCTAAAGCTTTGGTGTCACTCCATCCTGGGTCTGTTCTTTGCTAGCTGGGTGACTGGGCAAATTACTTACCCTCTCCGTGCCTAGCTTAGTGAATTCTTGCATATGGCAAGGAAGGCCAACACATTGCCAGCCCCAGGGCATCCACTGACACTGCACTGCTGCATAAGCGGTATCTCCTCTGCTCCTTCAGTGCACGGTCTGCAGGGCTATGTGCAGAAATCCTACAGTGAAATGTTACTATTTCTTTCTTAAAAGAAGGGTCATGACACATGCCAGAGCAAAGGGAAAGAGGGAGCATGACTTTGTTTTCTCATCTCAACAGCGTAAGAAGTCTAACCATTTTCACTAAATGTTCACAGAGGCAAAACCAGACGAGGTAGTGGTAAATATAGATGGCCCGAAGAAGAAGAAAGACAAAATACTCAAGAAGAAACTCAAAGAAAAAGAAATCCCCAACCTGGCTGTCTTGCAGGTGTGTGGACACAGCCATCTTGGCCATGGTTAGGGTGGGAAACTCAGGAGGTGGGCGTTCTTTTAGTGCTTCAGTCAACTCCAGAATACCTTTGTCTGAATAACTTACTTTGTCTTTGTTATAATCATTGATGCAGAGTAACAAACTAACAAGCATGCAAGCCAAGACAGTGGAGCTTGCTAGTTTTCTATTCTCTACATCCTCCTATTGAGAAGGGGCATAGCTTCACTTGGTTAGCCTGGATGCAACAATGTAACTTACAGTGTGTGAGTTCCCCTGGGTTCACCTCTCCGGGCTTGACATCATCATGCAGATATGTACAGACTCGACATAGCAGGAGTTTTAACTCTTACAAAAGTCAGCTTCCTCAGACCAGTCCTAACATTAGCCAGAGGCTATTAGCTAGAGGCATATTGATGGATATGAAAATTGGCATTATGAAAATTATGTACCTAGGTAATGAATTTAGGTAAGTAATTTTGATGGGAAATTTGAATAAGTGATTTAATTATATTACTCAATCAAAAACTCAATCCAATTTTCCATTTCTAAAATACATATGTAATTTTCTGCTTGGAAAATTCATGACTACATGCATTATAATAAAAACAAATATTCCATCACTTTATATGTGTTAAGAATGAAATGTTCAATGAATATTTTTTAATTTGAATGTCCTCAAAATATTGTAGTCTGTATCCAAAAATCAATGACATCAATTAGCTATAAAAAGCTTTGTCACATTTATACTTATATATTATATTTAAAATATTGTTGGTTTAGCTATACTTCTTGGAATTTCAAAGTTTATCAAAAACGTTTTATAAATTTCAGAGTGGTACTTAGTTCTAGGAATGCCAAGTCAATCATATTCCTTATTTTGCTGAAGATAAATTAACAGCGCCTCTTAGATTTTTCCAAGGGGCATATACGAAGGCTGGTTTTGGAGAATCTTGGCAGTTTTCATTAAATCAATCCTGGGCTTTCCTTCCTCTGAGCACACTCTTCTCCCTTTTCCCTAAAGATATACAATGGGGATCTGGAGAGTGAATTCAACAATTTTGAAGACTGGGTGAAAACCTTTGAGCTGCTCAGAGGCAAGTCTACGGAGGATGACCATGGCCTTGACAGAGACCGAGTCATAGGAAAGTTTAAGGCAGGTTCCAAGGTTAACCCTTTTATCTGGCTCTCCTGTCCATAAATGTCGGATATGACTCAATTCTGTTGGACTGTGGTGTGCGATGTCTGTAAGGAAAATCCTTAATCTCTCTGCAGGCCCCTCCCTCTCTAGAACCCCACAAGACCTAGCCCCAGTCTTTCCAGGTATTTGATTTGTGGCCAGTAAAGTGGATCGGAGCTCAGTCTGTGGAATATGAGGAGGCAGAATCTTTGCCTAAAGGGATCACTTAATTTTACTCTGCTTTTCCCACCCCCTGACCTACCAAACATATGATTTATACAAGCCTATCAGCTGAATGATTAAATTAATCAAACAACACAAACCCTTCATCTGGCAGACTTACGGTGTCAGCACCACAAAGCAGTAGCTGACACTCACTATGAACTTACTGCACACCTGGGCCCTTTATATGAAGGTGATGTGTTGGAAATCGCGTGGGCATTGCAGCTTGCCAGTCTGGGTTTAAATCCTCATTTAGGATTTAAATCCTAACTAGCTTGTGATCTTGAGCAGTACTTGACCTCCCTGAGCCTCGGTTGCGGCATCTGAAAATAGAAATACTGAAGCCAAGATTGAATGAGATAATGGGAGGAGACACTAGCTCAGCACCCTGCATGTAAAAGGCACTCAGGATTCCATCTGATGCTCCTATTCGTTTCTCACGTAACAGCCCCGTGAGGAGGGTGGTACTGTACCAACACTGATTCACTGATGTACCATGAAGAAGCACAGATGCAGGAGGGTTATGTGAATGGCCTGAGGACATCCAGGGGACAAGAGTAGCACCACCCCAGGTCCTGTTGGGTCCCAGGCTGTGCTCCTTTTCCCAGCGCTATGCCCTAGACATTTTTTTTTTTAATTTTAAAAAACCCTCTTTATTTTGAATAGTTCAGATTCACAGAAAGTTGCAAAGATGGTAGACAGAGGTCTAGTGGACCCTTCACCCAGTTTCCTCCATTGTTTACATCTTATGTAAATATCAAAACCAGGATATCCACATTGATAGAGTGTGTATATAGTTTTATGTAATTTTTATCACATATGTAGATTTGTGTAACCACTACCACAAACAAGATACAGTGCTATTCCGTCACCACAAAGATCTCCATCATGCTACCCCTTTATAATTATGCCCTGCTTGTGACTGTCTCTATCTTCTGGCAATCACTGACTTATCCTCTATCTTTATAATTTTGTAATTGCAAGAAAGTTATATAAATGGAACCCTCCAGTATGAGACTTTTGAGATTGGCTCTTTTCACTTATATAATGTCCTTGAGATCCATCCAAGTTGTTGCGTGTATCAATAATTTATTCCTCTACATGGTTGGTTTTCAGCGGGGCATATGACTATCTCGTTTCAACGGGTAGTGCTTTGTGGTTCCAGGGCTCCTTCTGCATCTACAAAAGCCCCGAGGATTCCGGCATCAAGGACAGCAAGCAGCTGAGAATCCAGCAAGGGATTCCATCCAACCACCCCATCAAAGTCCTGATCAGGGTGTACATTGTTGCGGTGAGGCATCCTTGTTTACTCTGAGGGGTTGTCTTAATCTAGAGCTGCCATAACAAAATACCGTAGACTGGGTGACATAAACAACAGATACTCATTTTCTCCAGTTCTGGAGGCTGAAAGTGCATGATCAAGGTACCATCAGAGTTGGTTTCTGGTGAGACCTTTTTGCCTGGCTTATAGATGGCCACCTTCTTGCTGTGTCCTCAAATGGCCTTTCCTGTGTGTGTGTGTGTGTGTGTGTGTGTGTGTGTGTGTGTGTGTGTGTGTGAGAGAGAGAGAGAGAGAGAGAGAGAGAGAGAGAGAGAGAAGAGGAAATCTGTTGTCTCTTTCTCTTCTTGTAAGACCACCAGTTCTATCGGATTAGGACACCGCCCTTATGACATCATTTAACCTTAATTAGCTCCCTAAAGGCCCTATCTCCAAATACAGTCACATTAGGGGTTAGGGCTTTGACATAGGCATTTTGAGAAAACACAATTCAGTCCATAACAGAGGGTATGATGTTTGGTTGGTAACATGGACCTTTGCTGGCTTTTCACTGAGCGAAAATATTTCCCAGGCTGAGAGGACTGCTCTGTGTAGCTTTATTTGCTCTCTGTGGTTGCCTGCTAGCTGGGCAGGAAACCAAGTAGCACTGAAGCAGGAAGCTCACAGGCAAGACAGTGGGAAGAACCAGGGCAGAACAGGGCAGCTGCCACTGTGCAATCCTCCCCCGCCTCCGGGGCTATGCCTCTGTTCTGCTGCAGTCAGAAATTTCATTTCCAGTGTATTTCCAAGAAAAATATTATCTGCCCTAGGCTTCCTCCTTTCTGATAATGAGAGCACTAAACACTAATTGTGAAACTTTTGGTCTGATTGCCAGGAAGCTTGGGGCCAAATTTGGTGCTCAATCAAAGCAACTGTGTACTAGACATTTATGGTTCATGTATTTGTTTTCATCTCCTGACCTTGGAGTTGATTTTCATAATCTTACTTGATTGTAGTCATTATATTTTACATTAATTCTTTGCTTAAATTGCCTAAAATCGTTTTTAGAAACCGAAATGAAACATAAAACAAAGACGAATTATTCTTTAATGCCAGGGGACAACTGAACATCCCCTTTCCATCATGCAGTTCTCATGTTTCCTTTGTTATTAGCAGCAACGTCATCATGGCCATGACCACCATGTGCCAGGCATGTTCTAATCACTAAGGATATCGTGACGGAATAAAACATAGTGCCTGCCCTAGAGGAAGTCACAGTCTAGTTGGAAAGATGAGAAGTAACTTGTAAAGTTATCCAATAAAGGATAAAGGATCCAATAAAGGATACTACAAGTATCCAATAAAGGATACTTGTAGTATCCTTTATTTATTCATTCAACAAATATTGGGAAGACCCTGTCTTAAGTCCTGGAGTTAATATAATGAACAAGACAGACAGTATCCTTGCTCTCATGAAAATTATAACTAATTGGGGGTGGTGTGGGCATTAGGAGGGTATGAAAATAAACAACAGACAGATAAATAAGCAAGATGAATGTCAGAGATAACTGCTAAATAAAGAATTAAAATTGGGGGATGTAATCAACTATACTTCAGTAAAAAAGAAAAATTGGGCAATATGGTGACGAGAGTAAATGGGGAAGGGACAATTTTGGATGGAAACCAGGATCTTGACCACTAGACCATGGGGCCAGCAGGGGAGGGACAATTTTGGATGGAGTTTCTCCCTAAGTAATTGACATATAGGTTGTTCACAATTTTTAGCTATTAAACGTTCTAATGAACAACCTTGAAAATATAGCTTTGTGTGCTTATACCCTCCTGTCTGTAAGACAGAGTCCTAAAAATGCAATTGTTTCTTATCCAGCTCTCATCTCTGCAGTTTCTCCATCTTCTCCATGTCCTTCCTCACCAGCTCCCTACCCTGGTCCTCCCTGACGGAAACAGATCATTACTCAGCTGACCAGCGCTAAATGCAAGACTGATGGGGTCATGGATTCAGAGTCCACTACTTCTGGGAGGAGGCTTTAAGTCTATCCCATAATTTTACCTATTAATCTCAGAGAGATGACATGTTTTGCCCGAGATCACATGACTACCTAGAACTGGAACTCAAATTCATGCCGTCTGCTTCCTGGTCCAGCAGATTCCTCATTACTCTGTGCCAAGGGCTGCTTTCCACTGGGGAGACAACTCCAGAGAAAGTAGAACTTGGGCAAAGCTGATAACTTTTAACAGCAGAGTAGAGAGGCTAAAACAGTGGTTCTTAACTTTATAGCTGCACACTAGAATCCTCTAGGGAGCTTCTAAAGATCCCCAGGGCCAGGGCCTGTTTAATCAGAACGTCTGGGAATAGACCTCAGGCATCAGTATTTTTTTTTTTTTTTTTTTCGGTACGTGGGCCTCTCACTGTCGCGGCCTCTCCCGCCGCGGAGCAACAGGCACCGGACGCGCAGGCTCAGCGGCCATAGCCCACGGGCCCAGCCGCTCCGCGGCACGCGGGATCCTCCCGGACCGGGGCACGAACCCACGTCCCCTGCATCGGCAGGCGGACCCCCAACCACTGCGCCACCAGGGAAGCCCCCAGGCATCAGTATTTTTTAAAACTCCCAGGGGATCCCGGTGCCAGCCAGTGTTGAGAACCACTGGACCAAAGGGATTTTTTTTTCTCTTCTCCAGGCATTTAATCTTAGTCCAGCTGATCCAGATGGCAAATCGGATCCCTACATTGTGGTCAAGCTTGGCAAAACTGAAATCAAAGACCGGGACAAATACATCCCTAAACAACTGAACCCGGTATTTGGAAGGTCAGTGGCCACCTGGGTCTCATTGCATTGTCCGCTCTGCATTTGTTCTTATGGTGCTTCTGTAGGGTGTTTGGTGTGGATACGTGTGTGGGTCTGAGTAAACAGTGCAGGAGATTAAATGCCGACTCCTGCCCGGGATAACAGCCAATCAAGCCTCTCTTCATGGAGAAGGGCTGAATTCTTTCCTTGGTCCCCTCAGCAGCTTGGTTCTGCATGGTCTTCATGGCCATGGTTTTCCAATAATGATTTTCCCAGATCTCAAATTTAAGACACCACTTGAACAGTCATCAGATTCAGCCTCCTGCCTTGGAGAGAGTTCCTTTTTACAAACAAGATAACCAAGGCCCAGAGAGGTTTAGAAACTTGTTCAAGTTCACACAGCTCATAAGTAGAAGAGAAGGGGCCAGATGTTTGGTCTTTTGTCTTCTACCAAAGAGATTTTTCCATCATATCATCTTGCAGTTCATTTGAGGTGACCCCTGCGGTCAAAAAGTGGAACTGCACCCCCCACCTGTGTTTTGTTTTCCTGCAAAGTGTTTACAATGCATCGCACTTGTGTTATGTTTAGGTGAACCAGGCATTCTCCAGTTCACAGCAACCCTACCACCCCATTTATCTTCTAAAAGGGTATGTCATACATTTATGTTCCCTGCTTGGGTTTGTGCTCTCGACTGCCAATAACTCTGGAGTCAAGCAGACCTGGGTTTCACTCTGCCACATACAGGCTGAGTACCTTTATGCAGACAGCTTAACCTCTCTGGTCCTAGTTTTTCTCATCTGTAAAACAACAGCAGTGATACTTGACTCTCAGACGCCTTTAGAAGATTAAATATGACAAGCACCTAGCATGTTGTCTATGATAGTGCATAGTAGATACTCAAAGCTCATTAGCTTCCTTCTGCTCTCCCCTGAAAATCATTTTAGCAATGCACACATCTTACGTGTATTTAATGTCTTTTCTTCCGGAGTGACAAGGAGCCTGGGATGAAATCTTTATCCACCTCATTTAGATTCATTTACACATTTGTGATCGCTTTGGACCCTCTGACATTTGATCAGCACCAGCTTCTTACATTTCATTGCTCCCAAGGAAATAAGGCAATAAACCATCTTGCCTGTTCAGATGAAAGAGAATGATTTAAAAGACACGCTGGGGAAACTTACCCTTGCTTCCCCGAGCGGGAGTTGACCTTTATCATTACCTGCTGTTTACGTAACCAGCACTTCATTTTGTCAAGTGCTTTGCAGTCACGTTTTATGAGCTGCTCTCACCACAGTGCCATGAATTAGACTGGCTTTATAGCCTCCGTTTATGGCTGTGGTAAGCAAAAGAAGAGGGTGATGGAATAGTCCCTCCTGCCTCTGGCACTTCAGAGCCTCTTCCAGAAGCCCACCTGGTGTGGATACTTTGTTGGATGTATATTTAATTGTTACTCAGGGACAGACATTGTTGGCTCAATCTGTGTTCCAGCAGGGAGAGTGGAGGGCTCTCATCCCCGACCTGGGGCCTGGGGAACTCCTCTTTGAGACCTCCCCATAGGAGGATATCACAGGCTCCACCCCTGATGCCCTGGGCCCTGGTCTGCTTTACTTTTCTTCATAACCTGTGACATGAATTGGTGTGTTTATGTCTGTCTCCCATCTCCCCGCTAGAATGTAAGCTCCATTCGTGCAGGGACTTGGTCTAGTCTGTTCAATGCTGCATCCCCAGCACCTAGGACAGGGTGTGGCACAGAGCAGATGCTCTTTAAATATTTGTAGGATGAGCAAATGAACAAACAGATTGACAAACTACCCTTCAGTCAGTTTTCAGTGGGATTTCATGGGACCCCATCATCCTGAGGGGCTACATGTCTGAAGAGTTGGTCAGAGTTGGTCGTTCCTCATGTTCTTAATAACCACAGTGCCTGGCACATAATGGATATCTCATAAATGTCAGATGAACAAGTGAATCAATAAGAGAATGAATGAATGAATGGGCAAAGAAACAGTGAGACATCTTTGCTCTGAAGCTTTCGGTACTGAATGTTTCTACAAGGCTCAGTTTTCACCCATTTCAGGATGCATTCTCTTTTCTCACACCAGTGCTGTTTCTAGGGATCCTATCTCAATGACACACACACGTTGGTATAAGCCTAGTTTATCCCCGAATGACTGGAAGTCCAACCATGGTGAGCTGTTTTTGGTAGTTTTTCTAAGGCAGCGCTAATGAAAATTCAGGAGAGGTGAACCTGTGAGCACATAGCACACAACTCTGGGAGATGGACCAGAACAGTTGAGCCCTCTGTCCTCTGTCATGGTTGCCGGGGGCAGTTAAGCACTTAATAAATCCTTCCTTGGTGGCAGCAGCTTGGTGATGGCCAAGCTCAGAGGTGGCTGGGGGCTTTCTTGTGAGATGCCTCTAGAATATCAGTTACAGTTTCAAATCCAAATCTTGGAGCCCCAGAGAGGCAATACTGCGTCTTCAGGTGGAAGAAACGAATTTCTTTTTTGCATAGCTGTATCCCTGGCCTGCAAGAACTGCCAGCCTCAGTCAGTTACAGGCACTGGAGCTGTCCAGCATCTCTGCTTCTTTCTCTCTGAGGAGGGCTAATTGGCTCCAGGCTGTGCTGTGATTGCTGTCCCTAGCAACCTGGAGAGTGAGAGTGGACCTGACCGTGACGGCAGCAGCCCAGACAGGCCTGAGGACAGGCAGAGAAATAATGGGTCCTCTATTCTCCCCTCCTCTGCGCATCCTCTCTGTCCCTTGTTCCCAGACCAGCCTCCCCACCTTGTCCCAGGGCAGAGACAGGAACAACTGGAGAAACACTGGTGTATCCTTGATTTTGTTTTCAAGAACACATTTCCCTAAAATGCAGGCTTTCACTCCCAATTTAATTCTTAGTTATCTTCTCTAACGCTCAGTAGCACGGATAATGCATTGTCACAGGAAATCCGACAGCATTGCTATTCCTTTCAACACTGACTGGGGTGAGATTGTGGAAAGAGAACGGTACCAGGAGTTAGGAAACTGGTACTTATCCCAGTTTGACCTGATTTAGGATCCTGGGCAAGTCCCTTGTGTTCTCTGGATTTCAGTTTCCTTATCTGTAAAATGAAGCGATTGGATATGGTGATTTCTGAGATCCCTTATAGTTCAAGGAGACATTTATCGTGTCTACTCTCTGCAGGTGAAGTGCAGCCTCCAGTAATGTGGAGATGAAGAGGTCTCTGTTCTCAAGGGGCTCAGAATAATCTTGTAGAGACAGCATTCCAGTCCTGCAAGTCTATGTTCTAATGATTTTCCATTGTCAATAGGATTTTCATTTCAAATAATCCCAGCTGGTATTCCCTGATGAAGCAACAATGGAGGAGAAAGGGAATGGTAAATTATTGGGTACCAGGTTGAATGCCTGGAAGTAAAATCTGTGTTTATACAAACACTATCACATTTAACCACTCTGCTATATTATAAAGAAGACATATTTATCCCCATTTACACATAAAGAGGCTGAGAGGGATGAAATAACTTTCCCGATGTATTACAACCGGGCAGTGGCTGATTCAAAATCCAGATTAGAAATCAGTCCTGTTTGAGACCAAAATCTAAGACTTTCCTCTCCCTCTTGCTGTCACCCTAGTTGAAGACTACAAGGCATGGTCCATAAAAGAGGAGATGATTGGCTACTGGAAAACTGACAAAAGAGTTGGAAATTGGTTGCATCTCAATGAAAAATTAAACCACATAAACACCCATTAAGTAGTAACTGGTTTGTTGAGTGTTTAGTGAGTTCATATGGACTGTAGGTGGGCTAAAAGTGAAGCAGGGAAAAGTTCTCTGTATCACCAAATGCTGTTGATTCCTAAACCTCTGCTTGGATGGCAGGTCATTTGAGATCCAGGCCACATTCCCAAAGGAGTCCTTGCTCTCTGTGCTGATCTATGACCATGACATGATCGGGATGGATGACCTCATTGGTGAGACAAGGATTGACCTGGAGAACCGCTTCTACAGCAAACACCGAGCCATCTGTGGCTTGCAGAATCAATATGAGATGTAAGTTATTCCTCCCATGGAGACACTGTTGGTGTTCTGAGGCTGCAGCGCATGTGCTGGGAAGGCCAGCCAAGGCCCAGATTTAATATCTCAGATGTGCTCCATGTCAGCAGGGCTAGTTTGGGGAAACTGCTCACTGCACTTGAGGGTACTTGGGGCTGGGGAAGCAAAACTGATTTAGAACCCAGGGCAGGTTCTTCAAGAGTCAAGAGCTGAATTGTATTTGTTCATTCGATCAGCTGGGCCTGGTGGACAGAGTTCCCAGTGGGGAATGATGCTAGAAGAATGACTAATATAATACAAATGCCAATATCCTAGTTAATTACAACAAACACTCAGGAGTGCTTACAATATACCATGCACTTTACATGGAGTATCTCGTTCAATTCTCTCAAAACCCATTAAGGTGTTATCCCCACCTTACACAGGTGGGAAAAGTGGGTCCAGCTCTCACTCTTTACAAAGATTTTTGAATTCTGATTAATTTAAAAATATAAATTATCTGCTTTATTTTTACTTTTATTAAGCCTTTTAAAATAACATTTATTTCTTAAAAGCTAACCTGTGCATAATAGGAAACCAAAAACACAAGAAGCAAAAAACAAAGTCATCCATAATCACCAGCAGTTTACCATTTGATATGTCCTTCTAGGTCTTGTTTTTGTACCTACACGACTAAGCGTCCATTTTTATGTAATTAAGATCATACAGTTATGTATCATGCTTTTTCACACACCACGAATATTTACTATTTCAAAGTCCCAAAGCTATGAGTATTTTAATAACCAAGAATACACTACACCAACTCAATCTGGAAGGAAAAAATGTAATCCTGCCTTTCTTGGTGACAAAAATTTCATAAAAGACGAAAATAGCAGTAGGCCTCTAAATAAAGATATTGGCTGAGTTACGATCAAAATACTACATTCCCTTAATGTTCAATTTGAAATGAGACATAGAGCAACAGAGACCAGCTTTATTTTTTAAAGTATGATATATTTAATATCTTAAGAAGAAAACTCTTACAAATATCAGCTAGGAAAATATAAAAGCATGCATTAGATTTCCATGGTATAATTTTAGAAATATTTCTTCTGAATATAAAGTAATATATAGTCCTTGCAGAAAATTTAGGACATACGGAAAGTACAAAATGATGCGCAAGATATTTTATCCAGAGATGAAATTTACATTAAAAAATGTGTATGTATTTCCTTTTAGTATTTTTTTCTATTCTATTTCCCCCAAAGTTGGACTCACACTGTCCATGCAATTTTGTAAGCTTCTTGTTGGACTTATACCCTTATAAGCATTTTATGATGTCATTAAATATTCTTCAAAGTCATTATTTTAATAGTGGTGTTCCATTATATAAATTTACTATCAAATGATATAACCAATTTCCCTTCCTGAATTTCAGGGCATTTATATTTTTCTTTCTTATTCCATTAGAAATATTGCTGCCATGCACATTCCCATACAAAAGCCATTGCAAACCTTTCTGATAATTCATTCAGTGTTCATCTATAGATATGGATTTATTCCATTAAAAGGAATGCACACTTTAAAGACTTTTAATATATATGTCCAAATGGCTCTCCAGAAGGGTTGGACCAATTTACACTCTCATTAACACAGTCTGAGCATCTATTTCCTCCATGGCATGATTTTTCAGACAAGTCTCTACTGCTGGCCTGTTCTTCTCTGAGCCTAGAAGGCCGGTTCAGTTTTGGGACTGTAGTGAATTTATAAGCCTCCTGGTGTATTTACATCATTCTCAAGTACCTGAGAGGGTACCATGCAGAGAATGATTAGCTGTGCTCACTCTGAAGTCAGTAAAGAAAGCCACAAGCAAACATGGTGGATCTTTTGTTCAGGAGAATTTCCTGACAGTAGAACTAGCAGGGACCAGGATAATTTAGTCAGGGAAGTTGTTCTCTGAAGTTTTAAAAATAAACAAGAGCACTTATTTCTGGGGAGGCCTATGTATGGCTCTGGGGGTGGCTTGGAGTCTTTTCAGGATCCTCATATCTCTGGCCCAGTGTAGGAAAACTGCTTTATAGCCATGTTTTGGTTTATTTCAATGCTTAAACAAATTAAATTCTGATGAATCCCGCATCCCAGGGAGCAGAGAAATCCAGGCTTATCTTGGTCATGGTTCCTAGGGAGCATCTCATTGCAAGTTAATAATTTTTAACCAAACAGCTAGTTTTTTAAGGGAAGAAGGGGTTGAAAAGATTTAGAAACTCACCACTAGGAAATAACTGATTAGAGAAACGGCACATCAAGACTTCCTGCCTGTGACATGAGTTGGCAGAGGAGGAGAAGGGAGGAAAGAAGCAGAGAAATTGGAAGGATGAGCTAGGCTTTCTTCTTAGAATAAGTAGCAGCCAAATAGCTATTCTGCTAGGGACAGAACAAACTAAACAAAAACTACCTGCAAAGAAATCCACGGAGACAGAAAGCAGATTGGTGACTGCCAGAGGCTGGGTGGGGTAGGGGCAGTGAGGAGTAATTGCTTAATGGGTAGAGGGTTTTCTTTCGGGGTGATGACAATTTTTTGGAACTAGATAGAGGTGGTGGTGGCACAACACTGTGAAAGTACTAAAGGCCATCAAATTGGTCAACTTTATAATAGTCAATTTTGTTATGTGAATTTCACTTCAGATTTTTTTTAAAGGATGCATTTCTTTAAAAAAATATCCAAAACTACCTGTAAGGAATGTTTATGTCAAGCTACTCAGAAGTTCTGCCTTTTGTACAAGCATACATATGCAGAGGTATTGACCAGAAGAGAGAGAAGATGATAAAATGAAAACACTAGCCCCAAGCATGTAGAAGGTGAAGTTAAATCTGAAGGATTAACACAGACCATCCTTAGGTGGTCCTTTTTACCGGGACCTCAGATGTGGCTCCCAGGGAGGCTGGACCTCACCCTCTGTCCCTCCTCCACTTTTCAGAGAAGGATACAATGCCTGGAGAGACACGTCCAAACCCACCGAAATCCTCACCAAGCTCTGCAAAGACAACAAGCTGGATGGCCCCTACTTCTGCCCTGGGAAAATACAGATAGGAAACCAGGTCTTTTCTGGAAAAACAGTCTTCACCGAGGAGGACACAGGTAACTCCCCCAATGTATCCCACTGACATGGCTCTTCTTTTGAAAAGCCTGCTTTCAGTGGTATTGGTGACTGAAGATAATGCTCATTTATTGTAAAATTAATGCATGCTCACAATAGAAAATATGGAAAAGTAAGGAGGAGGATGAAAATCACTCTTAATTCTCAAATTCAGAGATAACCATGGTGCGTGCTGGTATATTTCTTTACAGAAATATAAATTTTGCACAGTGTGTGTGCAATTTGGCACATTTTTACATAATTTTAAATGTACCATATCGATAGTTTTGTACTCTGCATTTTCTATTTCCAACAGATTATGACAATTCTCTGTTCTTTGAAACAATCCTTGATAATATTCTATTTTATGGCTGTGACATTTATTTCCATTGTGTCCATTTTTGTAGTGACACTTAATGCTACCACGAACATCCTTACACATATTTTTGCATATTTCTGATGTGTCTACAGTACATATCATATAAGTAGAATTGTTGTGTCAGAAGATAGACAATACCTTAAAATTAATATTACATAAAATAAATCACTGGACACAACTCAAATTACCCCCATAAGTGTTATACCAACCAATCTCCTGTTTCAACACCAAGAAACAGATTTTTCCATACGAGCAACATAGGACATACCAGGAAGATCCCAGAGAGCCTTTCATAAATTTAGGATAAGAAAAAAAAGCCACCTTTACTTTAGGGATATAGAACAATTTCTGTACTGTCACACCTGTCCATTTGATGCTTAAAAATTACCTATATATGGTTCAGTGCTCCTGATGCAAAAAGCCCGATTAAGGACACGCCACAGGGTGTTTTGACACTATGTTGATCCCACCACTTCAATGCCAAGATTTCTTTTTACCTTATTGTTTCGGCCCCAAGAACTTCTTAGAGGTTCATGCATGCAGAGTTATTGACATTTAGTGTATTAATGATATTGATGAATTTCTGTGAGAAAAATACTTTTTTGTAGTGTACTCTATGAAGCCCCTTTAGTCCCTTGGTCAGTATTCTACATTTCGTGATTAACCAATTTACTTGCCCACCAGAAATCTGAAATTATATTCATTAAGATCAGTTCTTGACTGATGAAACTTTTTGACAAAGATTTAATTCATTGATTACTTGTTCATCCCTATTGACTTTTACTGACTGTAATGACTGCTGTTGGGAGATTCTTTTGGTTAAACCTGGTTCAACTTTCCTATGTCGAATTTGGCCCTTCTAAACTTTGTTCAAGAAGATTTTATTCTTTCAACAATTTTTGCCTTATTTTGTGAGTATCGTTTCTACTGGCAGTTTTTGTCATGAATTACCTTTTTTGGTAAAATGTTAGATCAGAGAATCTTTTCTGGAGTAAGTGTTGGTAGACGGGAGATCCCAAGCAATGATGAGAAAAGTCAAGAGACATCGATGGGCACGTATTGTGGCTGTTTCACCACGTTGCTTAGGGTCACACTGGTTCTCCAGGCCCTCTCCCACTATGGTGTTAGCAAACAGTTTTATGTCTCCAGGAAACATACCCTCTCTCATCCCTTGCAGCCAAGTTTGTGATTCATAGACTCTGAAGGAGTCTGATTCAAGGGGTGAAGGGAGTCCAGTACTCCAAGACTCCGACTGAGCTCTGGATCTTTTGGTCAACCCATCTCATTTCCCACTCTCTTAACTTTCTTTTAATTAATTTTTATTTTAACTGAAGTATCGTCGATTTACAATGATGTGCAAATCTCTGCTGTACAGCAAAGTGACTCAGTTATACACATATATATATTCTTTTTTTAAAAAATATCCTTTTCCATTATGGTTTGTCCCAGGAGATTGGCTGTAGTTCCCTGTGCTATACAGTAGGCCCTTGTTGTTTATCCATTCTAAATGTAATAGTGTGCATCTACCAGCCCCAAACTCCCAGTCCCTCCCTCTCCCTCCCCCTTGGCAACCACAAGTCTGATCTCTAGGTCTGTGAGTCTGTTTCTGTTTTGTAGATAGGTTGGCTCTCTTAACTTTCAATCTCTTTCCCCTTCCCACCACTCTACTCCTACCTCCTTCCATTCTCTTGTCCTTTTTCTCTTTCACTGCCTTTTCTCTCTCCCAGTTCCTTGGTATATTTAAATGAACCTTTAAGGGAGTGTTTGAAAACGCATCTGACAGCCCATGACTATCACCTTACAGGAACACATCTGACAAGTCTCTTTATTTTTCTCTCTTCCATGCAGATGAGACGGTGGAGTCGTACGAGCACTTGGCCCTCAGCGTTTTACACTCTTGGGAGGATATCCCGGAGGTTGGGTGTAGGCTGGTTCCTGAGCACGTAGAAACTCGGCCACTGTACCACAGGGATAAGCCAGGAATGGAGCAGGTAGTGGCCAAGACAGTTCTGGCCCCAATAAGAGTGTTCATCCCCAAAGAGAATGACTTCTCCCTGCAAGTTAATCTTGTGTGCCGTCTAATAATGGTCCTCAAGCAGGGACACTTTTGCCCCTCCTGCCCTGGATGTTTAGCAATGTCTCATATATTTTTGGTTGTCTCACGTGGGTAGGGGTGACATTGGCATCTAGTGGGAAGGGACAGAGATGCTGCTAAACATCCTGTTCTGTACTGGGAAGGCCTCCACAACAAGGAATTATTCAGCCCCAAACGAATGTTGAGATTGAGAAACTCTGCCCTAAAATCAGAGTAGGACTTAGTGCTCTTTCCCTTTTATGATTTGAGTTATCACGTTCTTTCTGAAGAATCCTGACATTTGAGAAACTTCAAAACTCATCTGATGTGCCCAAGACCTTGTCCAAAAATCTATCAGTAACCACACAGCCCACTAGTTTTCCCAAAGAAGCAATAGATGGAGGCTTACCTTGAAGAACTGGCAAAACAAGCTGTGTGGAAAAGATAACTAGAGATCTGGCTTCTGAGTTAGAAGAGAAGAGAAGACACGTTTATTAAGAGGCTTTTATGTCCTAGGCCCTTTACAGAAATTATCTCACCTAATTAGGATGGCCATAGATTTAGTTATCCAAATTAGGGCCATTTTGAGAGGGAAAGAAGGCACTATTAATAATTAAGCTGATACAAGGGGCACACACCACGATTTTCCTAGACAAACCGGTGTGTGTGTCACCTCACGCTTATTTCTTAATACAGCCTCACGATGAAATTATTATAATCCTTACTTTTAAGATGAAGAAATTGAGGTTCGGAGAGTTTAAGTAACTTGCTCAAAGTTACTCAGCTGGTAATAAGTAGAGGTGGGATTTAACCCAGGCAGTGTGAGTCCCTAGATCTGTCCCAGCTCTGGACCCACTCTCTGTGTAGTCTGGGCAAAGCACGTGGGCTTGACTATAATGGGGCAGGAACTCCCACACTGCTATCCCAGCAATGCTGGGGTATAAACCTCCTGATAGCATGTGTGAGAGCGTGTCTTGAAAGGATAAACTTTTATCAGATGTAGAAGCTTATGACTATTTCCTAAGATTTACTACCAGATGTTTGAAATCTTTTGGTTACTGGTATCCTTCATTTTGCCTGTCAGATGTAGCTTCTTGGTTAACGGTGAATGTTAATGTCTCTTTAGAGACCTAGGAATATAATCCTCCATTGAATTGGTTCTTCTCTTCCCGAATGCTAACTCTTTGCCTACATTGCCCCTTCCCCTGGAAATCCTCTTTTTTTTTTTTTCCTAGCCAAAGCCCCTCTCATTCACCCAAATCCTACAAATCCTTCCCACTCTGTTGGAAGCCCCACTTACTTCATATAAAATCTCCCCTGACCATCCCAGCCCTTGGTGATCACTCACCTTCCTGCCTGAGCTGATGGAGCAATTAGCATGCATACAACAGACCTGAATATGGAATCCACTGGACTTTCTCCCCACCTGGGCTCTCACATCCCTTGCAACAGGGTACATTTTGATGTATGGAGTCCAAAGCAATGGATGGAAGGCCCTGTTCTGCCACTAATTAGCCACGGGACTTCAGATAATTTCTTTGACTTCTCTGAACCTTAGTTTTTTTATGTGTAGCACAGAAACGTGGCTGGGGGTGAGCACTGATGGAGATAATGGATGCTAAGCTACATTGGAAGCAATGAAGCATGATTCTTCTGACAGATAGTGTTATCTTTGTAATCCTTAGGGGTTGGTAAAAAGAGCAGGGTCTCTAGAGTCAGCAGACAAGGGTTGAATCCAGGCTGTACTATGTGTTGCCTGTGTAAACATGGGCAAGACATTTTCTCATCTGCCAAGTAGGAATAATAACATCTACCTAGTGGGGATATTGGAAGAATTAATGCTTTTCAAGTGCATAGCACTGCGTCTACCACATAGTAGGTGTGCAATAAGGTTTTGCTTACCCTTCCCCTTCTCTTGATATACGCTCCTCTTGATATATGTTCTAATTTTTAATAAAAATATAAGTTCTGTCTTTGTCAACAAATATTCTGAATATAATATGGATAATATCCTTATTATATCACATTACATTATATTATATTATATGTACCTAATATCCATTACTAGTAAAGGGATCTGTTAACACCGTGAATGGTCAGTGTCCATGTGATAATGCCCCCCCCCAAAAAATCTAAAGGATGTCTTCTTAACAAGGGCCGCCTGCAGATGTGGGTGGACATGTTTCCCAAAGACATGCCTCAGCCTGGACCTCCTGTTGACATTTCGCCAAGGAAACCCAAAGGGTAAGTAACCTGCAGCCCCACCTTCAAGGAAAGAGACCAAGGTCTCGGACTAAAGGATCATGTCATTTGATCTGGTGTCTGATACATTACATTAATCAGCTGACACCTGCTAATCATGCCTCACTTGCCACCCGGCCAAGTACAGCAGGGGGTGAGTGGTGGTGATAATAGTAGTGGTGGGGATTGAAATGGTGGCCCCTGTTTTATGGTAGGAGCCCCTGAGTTTCAACATTCTGAAAAATGTCAGTTAATGGAAGGAGGATGTGCTCAGAGAAATTCATGTTCTTGGCGATTCCAGCTGGGACACTTGGTTTTGATGGAACGAAGACCTTAAGTCTTGACATTTTAGAACTTGGTAAAGTTGAGGAAGCTTATAGACTCACAGCAGTACCAGAATCACATAAAGACCAATCGACTCAGCGTCCAAGGTCTTCAACCTAAGTCTGCCTTCCCTTATCCCAGGTATGAATTGAGAGTGACCATCTGGAACACAGAAGATGTCATTTTAGAGGATGAGAATATCTTCACAGGACAAAAATCAAGTGATATTTATGTTAAAGGGTAAGATCACCAGCAAACTCCATACCCCCTTTCCTTCTCCTCTTTACCTCTTTAACCCCTAACCATCTCACAAAAGGAGTCCATCTTACTCACCTTGTTAGATAAGGTCACTTTCTTTGTCAAGTATTTGCCTTATTTGGTCATTTTGCTAAGAATGATTATCCCATGAAATATTTTTGTGAGGAAGTCTTATTATATAAACATCTCTTTCAGTTAAATATTGGATACCTAAACTTTTTGAATGACATTCAAAATACCTTTACACCAGAAGGAAGTAGAGAGCCGTAGTGCTATTGATGAAAGATTAAGTGTTAAGAAGATTATAAGCCTAGTACAAAAGCTAAACTTTATACCTTCCCGTTTGCTAGTTTTACCAACCTAGGACTCAGGAAACTAAATATTTTGTATCTCTCTCTTACATCTTGGCTATAACACAAATGTCTTTGTAGGTTTCCTTTTCGCCCCTAATCAGGGAGGGAGGTGAAGTGGTAGAGAATCAGAAACAATGTGACTTAAACATGTACCCTCAGATAAAACTCATCTCAGAAACAGTCAATTCATCTCAGCCTTATTTTGGTATCTCTGTTTTCCCCCAACAAGAAACCCCCTTCCTCACTGACACTGACACTCCCATTTCTAGTACACTATTAAGTCTTGTTCATTTTACTCCCAAAATAGCTGTCAGCACTGTCCATTCTCTTCATCTCACCACATCACCATCATCATCTTTTCCTCCATCATTTCCTGCTAGGGTCACTGAAATACCAATACTATCTGAATTGGTCTCTCCCTATTCAGTCTTGCCTCCAATAATCTGTTCTCTATTGTTGAAACACGAGTTATCTTTTCAAAACACAATCTCAGCACATCAGTCCTGTACTTAAAACCCTTTAATGACATCCTATTTTCTCTAGACAAAGATCCAAATCCCTCATATGTCCTAAAATATCACACATGACTAGACTTTGCCTATGTCTCCAGACTCATCTCGCTGGATCAATACTCCCCCTTGCCTTATGCTCTCTAGTCACACCGAGCTTCTTTCCCTTTTTAGAATGTGTCCTCACCTCTTCTTCCACAGGGCCTTTGCACATCCCTCACTGGTGACTTTTGCCATCCCACCTATCTCCCTCCATCCTCTTCCCTCCATGACTGTAGCTCCATGAAGGCAAGAACCATCCCTGTTTGCTCCCATCACTCCCCTAGCATCTAGCTCACTCCTTGCCTCGTAAGAGATACCACACATATATTGGTTGACTGAGCACCATCTTTAGCTAAATAATTGTGCCCATACCCCAGGTGGTACCACTCCTCTGGGAATAGAAGGGTATTTACCCTCCCCTGCCCCAGGGTGGGTTGGGGTGGAGGGAGGGATGTCTGCTTTCAGAAAGCAAGTGGTTTGGCATTATCAATTAGTTTGAATTAAAAGTACCTTTTTTCTCAAGAATTAATTAGCTGTGGATAAAGTACTAGGGGAAAATGTATTCATTGTAGCTTACTTTATACTTGGCACGGAGGAAAAAGACTAGATAATACTAAGAGGAAATAACATAATAGATCATTTGGAGTACGCAAAGCACTGTACATATACTATCTCATGTAATTCCTCTGAATTTCTATGAACTAGATATTGTCATTGCTTCCATTTTCCAGATGAAACAAAGGCACAGAGAGGTTAGATAATTTACCTATGTAATGTAGCAATGTAATGTAGTGGGTGCAGAAATGGTACGTGTTATAAAGAGGTCGCCCAAGGTGAGAGGAAACTCAGGTTACACTTTCATTTCACATTTCCTGACTTCTCCCTTTTTACTGAGTGTGGCTTCAGATCTACCCAAGAACTGAAGACAATTCCCCAACCTGACTTAGACCGAGAGTCTTGTTTCAGTTTCCGACCCTTTGATCCCTATTTATCTCTTTCGGATTCAATGGAAGCTTTCATCTAAATCTAACTATATCATAATTTTAAAACCATGGATCTGTGACCACAATGAAACTAGTTAAATCGCTCTTGATTATACTGATGCCTGAATAATGTTCCCTGAGTGTTTAATTCTTTTTCTGTCTTTATTCAGGTGGTTAAAGGGTTTGGAAGATGACAAGCAGGAAACAGACGTGCATTACAACTCTCTGACTGGAGAGGGGAACTTCAACTGGCGCTTTCTGTTTCCATTTCAGTATCTCCCAGCAGAGAAGCAAATGGTCATTACCAAGAGGGAGAACATCTTTTCCTTAGAGAAGATGGAGTGTAAGACGCCAGCTGTGTTGGTGCTTCAGGTTTGGGATTTTGAAAGGCTGTCTTCAGATGATTTTCTGGGTAAGCCAGTGGCTTCATCAAGCTCGTATTAATGTTGAGGGTTTTGTCCCAGCTTTTGGAGAACTTAGTCTGAGTTAGCTCCAGGGATAGTAATTTCAATGCTATTTAATAATTTTGATAGCAAAATATTGAAACACTCCAAATAGCCCTTAATAGGGGATTGACTCAATAAGTTACAGTGCATCGCTATGGTGGAAGATACATATTCAAACAGACTAAAATTGACCTTTGCTTTACTACTAAGAAGCTATTAAGTTTTGAGCTAATTACTGGGCTCCTCTGTACCTCAGTTTTCCTCAGCTGTAAAATGGGGATAATAATATTACAACCTCAGAGGGGAGCTGTAAGTGTGATAATATAATTTAAAAACGAAGGACAGTGCTTCATACATAGTAAGCACTCAGTAAGTGATAACCCTGCAGCCATTAAAATATTAGAATATTTAATGAGTTGGATAGTTGTGCAGGGTGCATTAAGTGAAAAAAAAGTGTATAGGAAAAAATCCCCTTTCGGTAAAAAATATGTTTATTTTTATAGGAGAAAGAGATAGTCAGAGATAGCCAAAGAGACAGAAAGACTGATATAAGGATATGAACTAATAAGTAGGACAGTCGTCAACTTTTGGGAGGTGGAAAAATAATAGAAAAAAAGATTTCTATTTTTTGCTAATGTGCACGCTCTAAATGTTCACAGTGAACATACGTCACTTTCAAAATAAGGAAAGGTTATTAAGGAGAGAGAAATAGAACATTCTCGTGGAATTATCTTACTCTGGCTTATCTTCACTCATTGAAAATACACTGTTGAAAACTAGTGAATACAACAAAAAAGAAGCAGACTCACAGGTGACAGAGAACAAACTACTGGTTACCAGTGGGCAGAAGGACGGGGAGAGAGGCAAGATAGGGGTAGGGGAGAGGGAGGTACAAACTACTAGGTGTGAGATAGGCTCAAGGAGGTATCATACAACACAGGGAATACAGCCACTATTTTGTAATAACTGTAAATGGAGAGCAACATTTAAAATGTATAAAACAGTTTTAAAAAGAGAAAACATTGTTGAGAGTCCACGATGGTACTGGAGAGCAGCTACCAAGACGGTAAGACTGAGTCCCCAACCTGCAGTTTAGTGGGCTCAGAGACAGAGGTATGGTCGGGGGAGGAGGTTCTTACAGGCTGTCTGTGCTAAGGCAGGGAACAGCTCAAAGGATAGACACGTAATTCAGATCATGCTCAGGGAGCAGAGAAGAGGCCCAACAGATGATACCGGAAACTAAGGCTTGAAAGCTACATATGGTAGTTACATATGAACTTTCATAGTTACATATGAAAGTTACATATGGTAGCCCTTGTCTTCTACCTGCTGCCCTATTACTAATGCTTTAAATGCACCAAACATGTCTTGGTCATATTTGTGCCCTCAGTACCTGGCACATGCCTGTGGATCCCATGTGGTCCTGACTGAATGACCAGTGAGTGGATGGATGAATGAGTGGGTGAATGAGGATGATGATGGATTTTCAAGCCCTTCTATAACTGTTAAGGACATCTCTTCACAGGCTCCCTGGAGATGAACCTCAATAGTTTTCCCCGAGCAGTTAAGGCTGCCAAAGACTGTGATCTCACCAAGTTTGAAAATGCAAGTGAGGAGAGCAAGATATCCATATTCCAGCAAAAGCGTGTGCGGGGCTGGTGGCCTTTCACTAAAAGCAAAGAACTCACGGTAAGTGACAGCTGTAGGAGACGGGGTGAGGGTGGGGCAGGCAGGGGACCTCATATTCTTTAAATGAGTCATTTTGTAAACTTCAAGTCAAGTGCCCTAAAATGACATAGAGCCCTTTAGGGCAAAGGTTCTGTTGAGAAGTGAGAATTTTGAAAAATGTATAAATGCATTGTGCCTTCCATATTTCAGCATGCTTGATTTACTAGTGATCTATATCAGGCTGGGTTTCTATCTTCTTACCTTGAGCATATGCCCCGGCATTAATTTTTTTTCAACGTTTCTTGAAATTACGCATAAAGTCCTGACTAATGTACAATTTTAATACAACTGCTTCATCCCTTCACCCTCAAAACGTGAAACTCCATTTAAAAAGTGATCCATCCTTTTAAAACTTGCTCGAGAGGATACTAGCAGAAAGGAGAGCCATTTACCCCTGTCCTTGCCTAGCCAACTTGGTCCATACTGTGTGACACATGCTGTAGGAACTCGGACCTTTCACAAATCGTAGGAAGAAAGCTGCTCTTGCCCTTTCTTTCAGCCCGCTCGTCACTTCCCTGTAAGGGAGGGTGGAGGACTTAAGTGCTCAGTGAAGGTGAGGAAAGGGACCGGGCCAGCATAGGGGGCCTATTTTCACTGCTGTCCTCCTCTTGGGGTGAGCGTGTTCTCCCCTCTGTTCCTAGTGCCCAGCGGCAAAAGCAAACGCAAGTCAGGACCTTTCAGGTAGCAGGTCTGCATAGAGACCGATTGCTCACTCTCTCTTTGTGCTATGGGCTCATTGGGTACAAGACAAGGATTTCTTTGAACTTAACTGGGAGCTGCTGACCTGACTCCGTGGTGTCTAGTCTTAGTATGTTTTCTAGGAGCTTTCTCTTCCCTCCCTTCTCAATTCAGTCCCATCTGGTGAGATTGGATCAAAAGAACAAGGATCCAAGCAGGCTCCTTCCTTCCAGTCTCCTCAAGTATGCGTTGAGGTTTCACTACATGGCAGCCTCTGTACTCCGCTCCAGGCTTCACGGCTTAGCACATAATAGATGCTCAGTCAGTGACTTGATTGATGAATGGATGGGATCAGAAATGAAGTAAGCATGGCCTGTGCTGTCATCCAGCTCAGAGTCCAGTGAGGACAGATGTGTCAACAGTACATTCTGCATGAAATAGTCAAAATGAAAATGACACAGGGAAGGAAGAGGGGAGGAGCTAATCCCCTCTGAGGATGTTGAGGGATCAAGCACGGCACAGCACAAATTTTTCAGGAACAAGGAATGATGAAAGGCCTTTTCTAGATGAAGAAAAGGAGAATGTCTACTCCAAGTAGAGGAACCATGATGAGTGCAGCCTGGAGTCCTGAAATATCCCCATGGGGACAGCTAAATGCCCACTGGTCAGAGTTGTCAGAATGTAATATGAGGTCAGGAAATGGGGAATGCCAAGTCCTGAAATCCAAATTCTTACCTTTTGACATAATTCCTTTTCCTATGAAACAAACGGCAGTGATTATGTATATATTACATAATGGCAGTCATCTATTATATTTTTATAGCCCTGCAGAGTTTGCCAAATATGTTCAGATCCCTTCTGTTATTTCATTTGATCCTAATTGACTATTTTCCATGTAATTTATTTCTTCATTTCATTCAACAAATATTTATTGAGCATCTATTAAAGGATAGGCCCTGAGAATAATATAGTCCAATGTCAAAGACAGACACACAAGGGTAAATAGATGAACACACAAATGCACAGCGAGTTACCCACAGGCACACCAAGAAAGCAAATTCTTTTTTTTTTTTTAAGAGAAAAAAGTGAATTTTATTTGAGCCAAACTGAGGATTACAGTGTGAGAAACAGACCCTCAGGGAGCTCTGAGAATTGCTCTGCCTAGCAAATTCTTAAAACAAGGGCTGGGAAGTGCTGAGTTAAGGCATATCCAAGGCAGATATTCCCACTCCATACAGCGGTTAGAGAACTTTCTGTGACTGTGAACCTTTATAGTTGAGACCTAAAGAATGAAAAGCAGTGAGCCACAGGGAAAAATATGGAAGTGCATTTGTCACCAAGCAAACACCACAGGCAAAGGCCCTGAGGTGAGAATGAGTTCAGTGCATAGGAGGAATTAAAATACAAACAAGCAAAAACCTCGCACAACTGGAGCAGGGTGAAGAGAGGGTGACGCCAATGAAGTGGAGAGGAAACCAGAGCTGGATCATGCAGCCCTCAGACGCCATGTTGAAGAGTTTATGGATTTCAGTCTCAGATCAACAGGAAGCCAGTGAATGGTTTCTAGCAGGGAGGTGAGGGGATCTGATTCACACAGGAAACAGTCCCTCCCTGCAATGGGGACAATGGGTGGGAGAGGGTCACAAGTGGAGAAAGAGAAGTAGGCAGAGATGTAGGAAGAAAATAATGAAAATGTGCTGAGACATAAACCCAGAGAGGAGAGAGTCTTTTGCGGACAGCTGGGTCTTTGTGTCAAATGCTCCCGGGTGGTTGTATAAGAAGCAGAGAAGTGTCGATTGGGTTTAACAGCGTGGAGGTCACTGGCGACCTTTTATTTATTTATTTATTAAAATTAATTAATTTCTAACTGAAGTACAGTTGATATACAATATTATACGTTACAGGTGTACAATATAGTGATTCACAGTTCTTAAAGGTTATGTTCCATTTACAGTTATTATAAAATACTGGCTATATTCCCCGTGTTGTACAATATATCCTTGTAGCTTATTTTATACATAATAATTTGTACCTCTCCTGGCGACCTTTTTAAAAAGCAGTGTTGTGAAAGTTCATAGCAACATTATTCATAATAGCCCCAAAGTGGAACCATCCAAATGTCCATCAATTGATGAATGGATAAACGAAATGTGGTATGTTAACCGAAATTTCAGAAACAGAGACCTTATTGAAGTAAAGAGGTGCTTATCTGGGGTTTGTTAGGACCATAGCCCGGGAGACACAGATTCAAGAAGCATTTGAATTGTGTTCTGTTGGACTACCAAATGGGGGATGCTTATAAAGCAAAGCGGGGCAAGGTCACACAGGTTGTTTGTCAAGAACTAGGATCAGAGCTGGCAAGAAGTTAGGGCGCTTATTAAACAAGAACTGGTTGGGGTTCAAAATGATTACATTGTTGCAAAAGGGTTGGGGAAACTTTGAAACTACAAGGTTTCAGGGTGCAGCTGCTAGCAGATACTGTTTTGAAGATGGCCAGTAGTGTCCTAGAATTTGATACAGTTCAGAACATTCAAGTTCCCAGTGATTTAGGAACATGTCAGCAACTGCATCCACAATGGTCACCTGGCTCCATTTTGTTATTTATTTATTTATTTAGCTGCACTGTGCAACACGTGGGGGATCTTTGTTCTCCGACCAGGGATCAAAGCCGGGTCCCCTGCATTGGAAACACCGAGTCTTAACCATTGGACCACCAGGGAGGTCCCACCTGGCTCCATTTTGGATGCCTGAACCGTAGTTACTCCATTTTGATTTTTTTTTTTTTTTTTTTTTTTTGCGGTACGCGGGCCTCTCACCATTGTGGCCTCTCCCGTTGCAGAGCACAGGCTCCGGACGCGCAGGCCCAGCAGCCATGGCTCACGGCCCCAGCCGCTCCGCAGCATGTGGGATCCTCCCCGACCGGGACACGAACCCGTGTCCCCTGCATCAGCAGGTGGACTCTCAACCACTGCGCCACCAGGGAAGCCCCTCCATTTTGATTTTTAAATGGCTTTAAATATGTCATCAGGTATATCCATACAGTGGAATAGAATTCAGCCATAAAAAAGAATAAAGTGCTGATAGATGCTCCCACAATAGACTGCTAGTTATTTCTCCTGCAAAAACTGGGTTATTTGGAGTTAACAAAGAATTGCAATTTGAGGTCTGCACCCATGGCTAGCCATGTGCAAATCCCCAGCAAAAATGGAAAGAACTCTTTTATAGAGGGGGAAAGGAAGTTGGGAGTGCTACAGTTAACAGAGTCCATGGCTTTTCACTGACTGAGCCATGACTGTCTCTCATTGGCTGAGCTCTTGCCAGGTGAGAAGAGAAAGTCTTTCTTCTTCCTGTTATGCTCTGCTATCAGCATAGGGCATGAGAGCTCCCCTTTCGGGTCTCTCAACTCTATTTTAATTGAAGTTTCTCTTTATTAGTTTTTATAGTTTCCATGTCTATAAAATGAGTAGTTTGGACTGGGTGCCTCCAAGGTGTGTTTCCAGCAAAGACATTCTCTAATTCCAACTCTGCATGAACTCCCCTCCCGTGCCTTGAAGCCAGCAGTCAGAACATCATTGTCATCTTATTCCAATTACCAGCAGCCAGGAGGGATTTGTTTATGGGCAGTGCCACCTGCCAGGCTTATTTTTAAAGCTGCTTATCTGTACACCCAAGCAGTGTAATTTAGACATTTGGGTCACACAGCTCCTAGTGTGGAATATGGATAGTAAGTGAAAAACAGCTCCAGTGGAATTGCAAAAGAATGGGTACCCTTTGGAGAAGGAAAGGGAATATGTATTGAACATGTTCTTCATGAAACACATTGCATTATGCATTTTATATGCATTATCCTACTGAAAGCAACCTTCAAAGAAATCACTCCTTTAGAAGATGGAGATCAGGAAGTTTCTTTTACAGGTTAATCTCGCAAGTCTACAGTTAGGTAGCCCAGGTAAGTCCCAAGAGCATAACAACTAAAACTACCTCCAGGTTAGTGTGAAAAACAATTGTCAGCATTTATTATGGCCATGTACACTAGCAGCTAAAGGTTCAATGATCAATAAGACACATTTCTGCCATCCAGAATTTCACAGCTTAGCTGAGGCAGCTGGTAGACAAGACAAATCATCTGAACAGTAGGTGGCAAATTCAGATTCTCCAAGAGTGGAGGTATTTTCATGTGAAGAGCATTTTTAAGACAAAGTATATTATATGCATTTATAGGAAATTTGAAAGACACAAAAATGTGGAAAGGAAGAAATAGCACCCACATGCACATCACCCAAAGAAAACTATTGCTAACATTTTGGTTATTCCCAATATGCATAGATTTTGGTTAATTTTATATAATAGTGATCATTCTGTGTTAAAAGTAATGCCTTGTTCATTTTGCTTTATTCAGTGTTACAATGAGCATTCCCCTACATTTTATTATGAATATTACTAATTCTTTGTATTCTCAAAATAGAAATGCTACAGTTAAATCATGTGTTTTTTCCTCAACATACATACATTAAAAAATTTAAGCATGCAGAAAGTTGAAAGAATAGTACAATGATCAGCCATATACCCACCACCTAGATTTAATATTTGTAGACATTTTGATATATTTATTTTGTCTGTATATGTGAATATATGGATATAGTTTACACACACACACACACACACACACACACACACACTGGCTGAACCATTTAAGAGTAAGTTGTAGACATTCTGACACTTTACCCCTAAAGACTCCTTATGCATCTCCTGAGAATATGGATATCCTCCTACACAACATCTCATTGTGAAAAATAGGACAATTTGAACATCCAAAATAATAATGACTATGCTTTGTGCATTAAAGGTTTATCTGAGTTTTGAATTATTTCCTTAATTAGCTACCCAGAAATGGAATTCACAGGTCCAGAGTATGATTATATACTGTAATGCACATATACTCACACATACATATATATGTGTGCAGATACATATATGTGTGTGTATATATATATGTATATGTATGTATGTATGTGAATGCCTCATCTCATATGAGTGACAGTTGTGTTTAATAAGCAATAATTATTGCTGCAGAAGGCATGTCCAACCTGAACACAATCACTTCTCAGCCTCCCCCAGCGTCCACCCTCCAGGCCCAGTGAAGTTTGAAGCCCATAAACAATGGATGCAATACAACCAATCTAGTCTTTTTAGGACCTTTCCTTGTCATTTTCTTCCATCCATAGATGTCATTAGGTTAATAGATAGTCTCTCACACTGTCCATTTTTTCTAGCTCTGATTTAAAATTACATTTGGAGGATATTATTAGCTTAAGACCTCTACCTGGTACTGAATACTGATGATTGAATAGGACATGGAACCCTCTGTGTGGAGAGACACGGAAGGAGGAGCAGTGTTTATCAGACTATGTCAGTAAACACCTTCCCCTGCTGCCTCTGCGATACCAGATAAATGCTTTGTGACCGCAAAGGCAGGGCAGTGAAGCGGGGACAAGGCTTTTCATGATATTAGCTGACAACTGCTATGCCTAGGGCAGAATTAATTTCATATTCTCTGCCTCTTTTTTTTCTTTGCATTTTTTTTCCTGTGGGAATATGCGTCCTTGGGACTTCTCTGGGAGTTTTCTGAATGGGCAGAATATATTTCTCAGGAAATTATGCGTTTCTGTCCATAAAATAGTGTTGAAGTTAACAACTATGATTTTTTAAGTGTTTACTATTCACCAGGCACTGAGTTGAGCACTTTATAAGTGTTGTATCATTTATTTTTCAAAGCAATCTGATGGGGTACATGCTATTAACATCCCAGATCACTGAGACTCAGAGAGGGCACGTAACTCACCCAAGGTCACACAGCTAGTAAGTGGTAGAGCACGATTTCAGATGCCAATTTGTCTGCACCAAATCGTACCCACTCAATTCCTGTGCTACACTATGCTGTACTATTCCTTAAAATATACTTACATACAGAAACGAGTAGTATACATTACAGAAGAGTGTGCCAATCATGAATTTTCACGCACTGAACACTCCTATCGGCACCTAGACGAAGAAGCAGAACCTCTCCAGGGACCCAGACCCCTCCTGCCCCTGTCCTGACCACTCTCCTGACCTCTGACCTCATCATTTGATCATGTCTATTTCCTTCTTTAGCTAAATGAAATCACACATCGTGTATTCTTTTGTGTTTGGCTTCTTTTGTGCAACAATGTTTCTATATAGCAAGTGTGTTTTTCAACATTTTATTTGAAACATCAAAAATACATTCTAATGCTGGAGCCATGGCAATGACTATGAGGCCCCTCTTGAACATTTCAGAAAAGGTATATTGAGTCACTGTTAAATAAATAGGCTGCTTTTTTTTTTCCACAAAAAGGAGCCACTTGGACACATAAAACAGCAGAGGATGGGACTTGGTATCAGAGGACCTGGGTACAAATCTTAGTTTTATAACACAAGTTAGCAAACATCATCAAGCCTTCGTTTCCTGGGCTGTAAAATGGGAATAAAAATGTCATTTGTTTTCCAGGCTGTCAGATGGTTTAAATGGAATAATGTCTTCACATCCCACCATGCAAGTTATACAGCACTAGGGCTGAGCTTATTGTTAGGCAATGAAGACACCTATGATCCTTTCACTCTCGCCCTAGCTTGTTCTCTGTTGATTTTTGTCCTCGCTTCCAAACGTTTTGGAGCCCAGCAATTGGTTAGTGACTCTTAAGCTCTATCAAGTATAGAGGAGTTGGATGAGGCTCCCAGCATATAAATATATTGCTCAGTGGCACTCAGATCATCGCTGAAAAGCATCCGGAAATAAACCCTTTTGGCAGATTGGAAGCCTCTCTGCCGTGAGTTCTGGGCTGGCTTCTTGGGTTTCTTCCAGCTATGAAATCTTGCAGGGGCACCGTGGGCTCTAACTCTGCCTTTCATGAAATCTAGAAGTTAGAGCCAAGTTGCTTTAAAGAGCCTCTGGCCATTTGATAGATGAGGAAACTAAGACCCAAGAAGACAAATGCTTTTAGGTGGCCATGATGAAGACAGTCATAGAATCATCTCACGTTAGAGCTGGGAAGGTCCTCATAAAACTTCTAGTCCAATTATCAGGCAGTTGGGAGGCAGCCTGCTATAATGGAAAGAGCATGAGCTTTGGAATCTTACAGACCTTGGTTCAAATTCCAGTTGGTTAACTTATTGCCTTTATGACCTTGGGAAAGTTATTTGACTTTTATGGCTTCATTTCTCTATCAATATAAAGGAGACCTACTTTGCTAGTCACTGTAATAAATAGATGATAGATAGATAGGTAGATAGATAGATAGATAGATAGATAATAGATAAAAAGAACAGACCTGGGACAAAACAGGCATTCAATAAAGCATTGCAATTACAGTTAGAGTTATATTACTATTGCTCTACTGTTGATAGATGTGATAGAATGGATAGAAGCTTTATATTCTTTCTTTCCTGGTTTTCAAATACTTCCTGAGTGCCTTATGTGCAAGTCATTGCCAATGGAGCCAAAATTTCTCAATAGGAACAAGAGAGAGTACATATATACATATTTTAAAGGAATATTTCTGGATCATAGGAATTTAATGCCTTCTGAGTCGGGTCATGGTACTAGTCTAAAGAATGGATGAGACCACCTAGATCTGAACTCATGACTTCACTTGTAATAAAAGCCCACTGTGCTTCTTTACTGATTCAGACAACCATGAATCTGCCTCTCTTCTCCAGCTTCAAACTCACCCCAAATATTCTACTTTTCTCTAATTTCTCCCACGATTACATTTTCATGGCTGCCAGCAACTAAACTTGCTTGTTAAGAAGCCCTGGCATGGGATTCCCTGGTGGCGCAGTGGTTGAGAGTCTGCCTGCCGATGCAGGGGACGCGGGTTCGTGCCCCGGTCTGGGAAGATCCCACATGCCACAGAGCGGCTGGGCCTGTGAGCCATGGCCACTGAGCCTGTGTGTCCCGAGCCTGTGCTCCGCAATAGGAGAGGCCACATGAGTGGCCTGTGTACCAAAAAAAAAAAAAAAAAAAAAAAAAAAGCCCTGGCTTTTTCAGAAAGTATAGGTAAATTAACACAAGACCATTGGTTCATCAGAATCTTAGACCTTTTTACTGGGGTAGGAAATCAACCATGCCTCTGAAGTCAGGTAATACCCCATCCACATGGGATTCAGAAAGACAAGCTTTAACAGCAATCATAGGGGCTAAAATACTTTGGTGATGCTGCAGTCTCCAGCCACGTCTGTGTCCCTCCTATCACCTTGAATTTTGATCCACAAAACCAAAGGAGGCAGGAGAGAGGGTCCCCTCCACCAAGAACGGGAGCTCCAGGAGATCAAGGGTCCTATTTTTCTTAATCATTAAGTCCCCAGGGCCTAGAACAGTGCCTGGCATACAGGGGGTCCCCAAAAGTAATGAATGAACAAGAAAGAATAACTGCTACCTTTTGCAGACATCCTGTCTCATCCTTTGATAACCCAAGACTTACATCTCTGCCACTATCTTTGGCACAATGCTCTGAAGAAGCATATGACTCATAATTTTCAAACCAAAGAGGCTGTTTCTTACTGAGGGAAGAGAAGGGGAGAGAGAGTGCTAGAATAAAAGGATAATTCTAAAACACTTAGAGGGGACAACAAAAACAAGGAAGGATGACAGAAAAGCCTTTTGGCAAATGTAGGTCCATACCCACCCATCTCCTCTTGAGAGTCATTGACAGAGAAGAAAGAGGGCAGCAGATTCAAAAGGGTTCTGCCACTCAAGTAAGTAGTCCCCCTTTTAATTCTTACTTTCTGTAATTCATATTACTTCTGCAGATATTAAATGATTACAAGTGAAATAGTCCATGTGACTGAGCATTTGTGTGTCTATGTGTACACGTGGGACCCCCTCTTCTCACAAAACTCAAGAGTAACGTCGTTCCAGGGCTTTTATTGTCGGTCATAAAAATGGCTTCTCCCAGGACCGAAAAGATAATATTTCCTCAAAATAAAGCAGGAGGATAGTCACAATCCTTCCTGACATTCTCCCACATGATAACACTTCTTCTAGAAGGTCGGCGTTGCCCCCAGAAGTTCTTTGTGACTAGAAACTGAGAGTTTGTCTTTGTGCAGGGCAAGGTTGAAGCTGAGTTCCACCTCGTTACGGCCGAAGAAGCTGAGAAAAATCCTGTTGGAAAAGCCCGAAAGGAGCCAGAGCCCCTGGCCAAGCCCAAGTGAGTGAAGTCACGGGGTGGGGATGGGGACATCAGAAATGGGAAGGACCCTCTGAGGTCCCCATATCAGAGGATGAAAACATTTCTCTAGAGCATCCCGCTGGGAGAAGTGAGGAGTTAATAGGTACCATCCAATCAGTGTAGCTTTTTATTTCTATAATTGAAAAATATTCCAAAAACATTATAGAGTGTTTGGCAAATGGACAGGACACTTTTCCATAGAACTACCACATAAGCACTTCTAGAATAATTTCATATGTTTTTTTCTGCTATTTTTTTCATGGGAATATAAGTTTCACATGAATTTTTTTTCTACTATTTCTCTAATTATGCATACAAAATTATCTTCATATTTCACTTATCCTTTGCTGAAAATTTTTGCTTTGTTGCCATAGTTGTCATAATTAGGATTTTTAAATGGCTGTGGAATAGTCCATAGACTTGATACCCATAATTGAGTTGGTTGCCACCCCATAACTGGATGTTTAATTTACTTCTACCTTTTTTCTATTATTATAATATGATAAAAATGTTTCCCCTTTATAAATTATCACCTTAAAATAAATTTCCAGAAGTAGAATTACTAGCAGCAAGTGTTACCCTATTCAATTGAAACCATGGTTATATATCAATTAAAAAGTAAACATATATAGATATGAAATGTGTACACAAAATACTCCTTCAAATTGTATTTGTCCCACCCCTCCCTGGACTCCAAGTGTCTCATGATGAGTAGGTGGTCCCTTCTCTGTACCTACCTTTCATCTATCATAGTGTTAGGAACATAACTGGTGCTTCATTAATTCAAAATTATTTATTAAACTCCTACAATGTGTACCTACTAAAAAAAAAACACTTTGAAGAACACCAAAGAAATACAAGATATAAACTCTGCCTTCCAGAAGCTTTCAGTCTGTTTAGAGAGAACACACAGGTTGATAAAACAGTCATCAGACTGTGGAAGACATATGTTAGGTTCAAAGAGTGGGTAAGTCAAGCCACGAGTGAGGTAGGAATTCAGAATGAGGGGAATTATTGTGGACTGGGGTAGTCAGGAAGGGCTTCATGGAAGAGGCAGGGCTTGAGCTGGTCAGGGTGGGATGGACAGAGGGCACTCAGTTCTCTGGCTGGGTCCTAACCAAACTCTTGCCCTCCTCCAGACCAACTTTTAAAATGATGAGGAATCATTATCACCCAAAATGTTAGCTTGCTTCTGCTTCAAGGCAACATGGTCTTTGCCCGTTCTCGGGCCTCTCTTTGTGGGCCCCTGGAGATTGGGAGTCAGAAATCCTTCCTGAGGTCTTGAGACTCCTATGTGTTGACAACATGGCCCCTTCCCTGATCTTCTCTTGCTTCCTTCTCAGCCGCCCAGACACCTCATTCTCCTGGTTTGTGACCCCCTTCAAGTGCCTGTACCACCTCATCTGGAGGAATTACAAGAAGTACATCATCATCGGTTTCATTCTGATCGTCCTCATCATCTTCCTGGCCCTCTTCATCTATACCTTGCCGGGAGCCATCAGCCGAAGGATCGTTGTGGGCTCGTCGTAGAGGGTCATGGAGGACCCAGACCTTCCCTTTCTACTCCTCCTCCCTTCTTCCTCATCTGTAAATGTATAAGAATGTATGCTCTGTGCAGGCACTGTGCCGGCTGCTAAGGGGATAAACCCAGAGGGCCCAAGAGCCACTCCCTTTGTCTAAGGACAGATCAGCTCTTCTTGGAGGAGATGGGAGAGGAATAGTCCTGCCCTACCCCAACCCTGCCACTACCTTTCCAATTTAAAAGCCTTAAGTCATGGTTTTGTCCATGGGCAGGATGAAATAATGGCTCCTTTACCCATAGTAATCAATGGTGACCTCAAATTGACTTAGGAAAATATTTTCTAGAGCCTAAGTAAGGAATGTGTTTCATGGATGAGGTTTAGGAAAAAGCACAACATACATCTATGGTGACGTTGAAAAGGAAAAGAACAGCATTACTTTAGGACAGATTTGGAAGGAAGGTATTATACTTTCTTCTGGATTCTGGACAGTAAAACGACAAGTCAGGTCAACAAAACAATGCACATTGTTCAAATCCACAATAAATACAAGCTAAACATTGAAAACTCTTCTAAGTTAAATAGAGCTCATCAAATTTACTTTTATGTCAAAAGATGCTGGAATGCTGAAAAGCCTTTTAGCAAAAGTATTTGAAACACTTTCAGATCAGATGGTATCATAAGAAATGTGCCAGAAGAAGGGGTAAGCAGGCATAATTTAGGAATCAGCTCTGTCTGGTGTTCTACACATAGGTTATCGCTCATGGCCTGTCCTGTGTATAAAAAAATAAATTAAAATAATGTTCTAGGCCTAATTGTGCAGCCCTGACCCTAAAGATACTATGCTTAAGAATTAAAAAGATTTTGAAGCAGAAAACCCATTTCCCAAGAAGTTGTCATGAGTCCCTACTTGTGTTCTTAAATGGGATTAATTTAAATCTATTCATTTGACGGATTAGAGTTGTTCTTGCTGCTTAAATTTGGTTCAGAGTGGTTTTGTTTTGTTTTGTTCTTTTAACAACATTTGAATCTTTCCTCCCAAACCAACTAAGCAAAACATAATTAATACCAGCAACAACACCAAGCAACTCACAGGATATGTTATCCAATTCTGTGTCTCCAGTAGTTGAAACCATTGGTGCCTTTCTTGCTCTTTTCCCTCAAAAATACACATAAATGGAAATTGGGATTGACTTCACAGCTGGGGAATTTATTCATTCAACAGCTAATTATTGAGTTCCATCCTTGTTCCAACTGCTGTGATTAACTCTAGGGTCTCAAAAGTACACAGTCAGATAAACTAAATCTTTGCTCTAAAGGAGCATAGGGTTTGATAGACAGAAGATATTAATCAAATAATCAGACACAGATAAATACAGACTGATGGATCGAATAGGGGCAAAGTACTGGGAGCAGAAAGACCATCTAAGGGGGGACCCGTAGCCAGTCTGGCAGTCAGGAAGGCTTCCTAGGGAAGTAATGACTGAAGGGAGATAAAAGATAAGGAAGAAAGATGGAGAGGAAGAAGAGCACACTAGACAGAGGAAAATAACATGTTCAAAGGCCCTGAGGCGGGAGGGAGTGAGGCACATGAAGTGGTCTAAAAGACGGTGGGTACCAAGTGAGAGGCAAAGGACCCTGAGATGGGGCTGGAAAGTCATCTAAGGGCCCACACGCTTAACGGCTTCAGTCTTCATTTTAAGGGCAGTGGATAGCAAAGGATTTTTAAGCAGTAGAAAAGAATGACTAGATTTTTATTCCCCATGGAGAACAGACTGGAGGTACTGCAGTCCTTCCCACAAGAGAGGATGATTATTTTCACTCAGTAATTGTGGCAGAGGAGGGAAGAGGAGGGATCAGAGATGATCTCTCTAAGGCTCCAGGGTGGTCTAATGGGGAATTGGGGGTCTAGTATTGACTCTATTTTATACAAGCTGTGTGACCTAAGGCAGCTAACTTCACATCTCTGATCTATACTTTCCTTGTCTATCACATAAGGAAGTTCATATATACTATGATGAAAAGACCATGGCATATTCTGCGGCAAAATGAGCATTGATGGGTCTGTAGCATGGAGTGGGATGGACTGTACTCAGAGTCAGATTATGAATGGCTTTGAATGCCAAGCCAAGAAGGTTGGACTTTATGCAGCAGAAAGTGGGGGCCCCTGGAAGAATTTAAACAAAGAAGTGTCAAGAACCAGTCTAGATATTGGAGAAGTTGTTCTGCCTGCAGTGCATGATGGATTGATGAAGATGAGATCCAGAGGCCGGGGACATTTTAGGAAGCAGTAGTCAAAACCCTGGTGGGAGATGAGGACCTGTGTCAGGGCCACAGCCATGGAGATGGAGAGGAAGAGCAGATTCTGGAACATTGGTGAGGTTCCTCAACCTTCACCCCCATCCCTGGCACCCAAGATGCCTGCCAGAGAGGACAGGGAAATTTGAATCCTGGCTGTGTCATTTCTACTTGGGCAGGTCACAATCACTGAGTCTTCATTTTTTCATCTGAAAAAAAGGAATTATGACCTACTTGGCAAGAGTCGTGTAGATTGTAGAAAAAGTATGTAAAATGTGTAGCTTGTGCTTGGCATGAAGCCAGTCCTCAAAGGATAGTAGCTACTGTCATAAGTATCATTTCTACAGGTGGAATCAGCAGTATGTGGAGTCTAGTTGTATCTAGAAGTGAGAGACCTATGTTTTAGAAATGTTCTGGCACATGGACTAAGAAACTTTCAACCAATAATACTCCCAAGTGTATTTATTTTGTATTGATTCTGTAACAGACTACAACGAGCCCAGTGGATTAAAACAACACAAATTTATCATACAGTTCTGTAGGTCAGATGTTCATCATGGACCTCACTGAGCTAAAATCCAAGATATCATCAGACCTACCTTCCCTCCTGGAAGCCCTAGGGGAGGATCTGGTTTTTTGCCTTTTCCAGTTTCTAGAGGCTGCCTGCATTCCTTGGCTTGTGGCCCCTTCCTCCATCTTCAAAGCCAGCAAGTTTATATACCTCTGTGCCTTTCTTTTGTAGTCATACCTCTCTCTGACTATAGCCAGAAATGTTCTGGCTTTTATGGACCCAAGTGAGTACATTGGACCCACCCAGATAATCCAGGATAATCTCCCTACCTCAAGGTCCTTAACTATCGCATCGGCAAAGACCCTACTGCCATGTAAAGTAACATATGCACAGGTTCTAGGGATTAGTACATGGAGTTTTTTAGCAGAGGGAAGCATTATTCTGTCTACTGCATCGAATATCACCCCAGCATTTAAATTCAGCCCAACATGAAATCCACTTCAGCAGAGCTTTGGAAGTCGGTGGGATGATTATGGTATATGAAGTAAGGAGGCTCCACAGACGCTTTTCTCTCTGGAACAAGATGTTTCCATTTGTTGTTCAGCCTCTCAAGCAACAATTGACTCAGGAAAAAGAGGAAGGATTGTTCAGTCCTTCCCTGACTCATTAAATCCTCTCAAGCACAATGGATGAGGTGTGTCGGGAGCTGGTTATGAAAAGACCCTGCCACTTCCTCTCACATTTCTGCCTCCGGAGTTTCCAAATAAGCCTCTTAAATTCAGCTTTCCTTTAACACAGCAGTGGTTCCTTCCAATTCAGGAGAAAACCTGTGTCTCTCCTCTCCCTAGTTTATAAAGGGCAAGCTGAGAAAAGAGGACTCTCTATTTTTCACTGAATTGTTGTACTAGTGGAAAGAAAAATGGGCTTTGGAGACTGAGATAAAAACACTGAAACTTGGGTGTAGACACTAGCTGTGTGACCTCGAGCAAGTTACTCAACAACTGTGAATCCTGTCTTTCTGATCTGTAAAATGAAGCTAATACCCATCTTATTAGGATTGTCTGTGTTTGGGCGTTTGTGGTTGTGGGTAGTGGACCTCTACTGGGGATAGAGGTAGAGGATTATAAAATGTCTAATATACTGTCTTCTATGTCATAGTATCCAAATTAATGAGAGATTATTATTTAAGTAACAAATAACTAATGTTTGCTGTGTGCTGTTATAGATTACAAAGTAATACATGTATCTTCTCACTGATTTTCTCAACAGCCTCACATTGTAGACAGGAAACAGCTGCAGGGACTTTCAAGCTCGCCCAGCTCATTTGTAACAGATCTAAGATCCAAGCCCAGACTCCTCCCTCCTGCCGCACGCCCCGCCCCTGCCCTCCTGCTCTCTCCTTTATAAGCGGCTGCCTAATGATTGATTTAAAGCGGGTGGGGCCGCCTCCAGTCAGAAAATTCCTCAGAGATTTTTTAAGGGCCATCCATGTCCTAGGGGTTCATCCAGGTCCCCTAAAACCTTTCAAGTATCTTACACACAACAGTGTGGATGCATGTTTGAGCCTCTCTTTTTAATTGAACCACTGCGTTTGATGGTTAGAGAATGTAGCTGGCATCTCTCATCCATGCTGTCCCCAGATCTTTTCAATTTTCTTTTCTCATTTTGCCACTTCTTACAGTAGAAATTCCCCCACCCTAATGCAGAAAACAACTTCTGGAGTGCAAACATTTAACTGAGCTCTTTATAAACCAGGCATAGAACTCATAGAACTTAGATTTGGAAATTATGTGAAGAAACAGGCAGGGTGGAGGCACTCAACCATCCCAGAAACTGCTAGCTACTTACCAAATATCTATTTTCTCTTTCCTGCTTGGTAACAGAAGGTAAACATTAATACTTTACCAGAGATGTGATTTGCAAATATTTTCTCTCTGTGGCTTGCTTTTTTACTCTGTTGATAGTGTCTTTTGACACACAAATTTTTAAAATTTTGATGAAGTCCAATTTGTCTATCATTTCTTTTTTTGCCTGTGCCTTTGATGTTATATCCAAGAAATCATTATCAATGTCATGAAGCTTTTATCTTACATTTTCTTCTAAGAGTTTTATAGTTTTAGTTCTTATGTTTAGGACTCTGAAACATTCTGAATTAATTTTTGTATATGATGTTAGGTAAGGGTCCAACTTCATGCTTTTGCATGTAGTCAGTTTTCCCAGCACCATTTGTTGAAAACCTCACCCTTTTTTTTTTTTTGAGGTATGCGGCCCTCTCACTGTTGTGGCCTCTCCCGTTGCGGAGCACAGGCTCCGGACGCACAGGCTCAGCGGCCATGGCTCACGGGCACAACCGCTCCGTGGCATGTGGGATCTTCCCGGACCAGGGCACAAACCCGTGTCCCCTGCATCGGCAGGTGGACTCTCAACCACTGCGCCACCAGGGAAGCCCCAGCAAATTAATTTTCACAAAGCCTGTGTTTTCAGCTGAAACCACTACCATTTCCCTGGGCCACCACAGCTCCTACAATAGCTGAGTCTCCTCTGTGCCAGAGCTGCGCTGTGGCTGGGCTCAGAGGGGACAGTGCCCCTCTCCCCGCTCACTGTCAACCCCAAGAGGACTGCATGGTCCCTGACCCCTACACAGATCTCAGCTGAGCAGCTCTCTCCCATTCCCACTCTCTCTGGAGGATTCGGCCATCAGCAACAGCTAATACTGAGTAGGCCACACACTTTGCTAGGGGGTATTAATACAGTATATAATTTAATCTTCTTAACCCTGTGAGGAAGGCATTTTCCCCAGTTTACAGGTAAGAGGCTTAGTAACTGGCCAACGTTACTCAGCTTGGCCAGCATTTGAATCCTGAGCTGCTGGGCTTTAATACTGATGCTTTCTCATCTGTATCACCCTCTTCCCCGCAAGGCTGACCTTACGGTCCCTCCCACAGGGCTGTGTTGTAAACATGGAGACGTGAGTGTGAAACTGCTTTCTGCTTTGTAGGAAGGCAAAGAAAATGTCAGCTGTTATTTGATCTCATGTGCTGGCTCCACATCTGGCCTCCTTTGGGACCCACCTCTCAACCCACAACATCCCCCGTGGGAGGAAAGAGCTGGCAGACCTACCGCTCTGTCCCTCGACAGCTCCCCTCTCTCGACCTGGAGAGGGCTGCCTTGGAGAAGCTGGAGAAGCAGCTTCCTTGCTGTCTGCTCTGAGGACAGGCAGGCTGAGAAGCCTGCCAGAGACTGGCTTTGCTGGCTCCTCTGGTGCCAGGGGCTGTTGGCTTTGGTGGTCCAGGACACTTGCTGCGTGCTGTGTGGGCAGAAACCTGGAGGTGTGGGATGGGAGAAAAAAATGATTCATAGAAATCTGGGTAGAGACCAAAACCAAAGTCACGAAGACCATCCATCTGGACCTGAGTCTGCAGGGATCCTAGACAGGGAAGGAGACAAGAGGATGGATTACAGGGAAACCAGAAAGAGGAAGAAGGGCCAAAGTGTAGGTTGGGAGTCAGAACCTAGAGAAACTCCTACTCAGAAAGTGTCAGAGTCGAGCCTCTTTGGGGACAGTGGGAACCTTGTGTACAGGCAGAAGGAGCTGTCAAGACACTGAGCCTCCCCATGTGGCAGGTTCAATCCCTCCTTGCCTTTTGTCCCACACTCCTGAGGGAAGGGACCACTGGACAGGTCAGTTTTGTTTGTTTTTTATAGAGTTATTTTTTAGAGCAGTTTAAGGCTCTCAGTACAACTGAGCGGAAAGCACAGAGAGTTCCCACATACCCTCTGCTCCACATGTGTACAGCCTTCCCCACTTCAACATCCCACACCGCATGTATTACAACCGAAGAGCTCATCTTGACACATCATTACTACTCAAAGTCCATGGTGTACATTAGGGTTCGTTCTTGGGGCTGAACATTCTATGGGTTTGGACAAATATATAATGACACACATCCATCATTATAGTATCATCCAGAATAGTTTCACGGCCCTAAAAATCCTCTGTGCGTCTCCTATTCATCCTTGACTCACTCCTAACCTCTGGGAACCACTGTTCTTTTTTTTTTTTTCTTTTGCGGTACGCAGGCCTCTCACTGTTGTGGCCTCTCCCGTTGCAGGGCACAGGCTCCGGACGCGCAGGCTCTGCGGCCATGGCTCACGGGCCCAGCCGCTCCGCGGCATGTGGGATCTTCCTGGACAGGGACACAAACCCGTGTCCCCTGCATCGGCAGGCAGACTCTCAACCACTGCGCCACCAGGGAAGCCCACCACTGCTCTTTCTCATGTCTCCAGAGTTTTGCCTTTTCCAGAATGTCATACAGCAGGAATCGTACAGTATGTAGCCTTTTCAGATTGACTTCTAAGTAACATGAATTTAAGTTTCTAAGTAACACTAAGTAACATGAATTTAAGTTTCCTCTGTCTTTTCATGGCTTGATAGCTCACTTCTTTTCAGCAGTGAATAATATTCCATTATCTGGATGTACCCCAGTCTATTTATCCACTCACCTACTGAGGGACATCTTGGTTGCTTCCAAGTTTGGGCAATTACAAATAAAGCTGGTATAAACTTCTGTGTGTGGGGTTTTGCATGGACATGAGTTTTCAGCTTCGGGGGATAAATACCAAGGAGCACGACTGCTGAATCATATAGTAAGAGTATGTTTAGTTTTGTAAGAAGCTGCCAATGTTGCATCAATTTTGATGAGAAGAGTTGTTCAAACATGAGAGAGCTCCTGAGAAATGGTATTTGGTGTCTAAGGAGTGGGGTAAGAGGGGAATGGGGGGGCCAACAGTGCCAAAGAAGGGCAAGTAGGTGAAGAGAGTAAAGACTGACACACCTGTCTCACAATTGCCGAGGCTGGGTGTAGTTAGACACCTCATCTTTGAACTTGACTCAGCCTTCACTGAACTAGAGCTGCCAACTCCAGCCACACCCTGCCTGCCCTTAGAAAATTCACCAGCTGGTTGTAAAAGTCACAAGTCATTAACTCAATGCATTCATTTTCCAACTGGCTTCTCCTGCAAAGAAAAATCTTTCTCATATTTCCCATTTTCCATTGTACAAAGCACCCAGTTCGTGCTCAGAAATACTAGCTGTAGGTAATAATACAACGAGCCAACTTATTCTGAAGCCCAGCCTAGCATCCACACCCCAAACCTGAGTCTTCTCATTCCTTTCGAGGGGTGCGTCCATCAGGGCACACCGTTGTGCTGGAGATTGGGACCACACGTTACTCATTCCCCTTCCCTCTGGGCTGTAGCCAGTTGACAATAGACACAGGAGCCAAATAGGGACAAGAGAATCAGTTTCATCAATAACAGCGAGGTCCCCATAACTTGCTTACAGTCGTGGTTTTCCAGTAAATCATCCCCCTGCCCTGCCCTGCATGGAAGGTAGATGGGCCAGTATGGTAGGATGAACTTATTAACCAATCTACCTCTTGCTTTTTTGCTTTAGGTGCTGCTAAGGAAGCCAGAGAATGGTGAGATCATGAGGCTCTCTGTGCCTGGGCGCAGATCCAACAAGAGGCAAGAGCACTGCCATGAATGAGCACCCTGACCTTGCCCAGCAGAGCAGTGTGGCTGCCGAATGCCCAGCCTCTCACCAGCCCTCCAGTGGAGGAGTCCATGCTCTTCCTGTCTGCTAATGGGGTGGGAGGAGGAGACAGAGAGAAACCCACCATCCCAGTTTGCCTGGGCTGAAGCATTCCTGAGATGTGGGGCTTTCAAGACTAACACCAGAAAGTCCTTGATGAATCAGAACACAAGTTGGTCACCTTACACTTTCCTCAAGCCTTAGCAAATATGTTCTCTCTAAAGAGGGAACCACAATGTGGAGAGAAGGAAAGATGGGTTTCTTCCTACAGTGACTCCAGGGCTCCCCCAGGCTGATGAGAACTGGGGCTGTTAGTGGATGGGATGTGGGTGAGAGGATAAAATTTGGGAGGTAGATACACCACCACCTTAACAGTGTTACCGAACTAGGTTCGTTTGCCCAGACGTGCAGCAAGCCAAACGCTGAGACACCAAGGTTTGCAGCAGAGAAAAGGATTTATTCCCAAGGCAACTAAGCCAGGAGATGGGAGAACTAGTCTCAGATCCACCTCCCGGAAGGTGAGGGGCTTGGGACGTTTATGGGTAAATCTGAGGCATGGGGAGCAAGGGGAACAGTGATTGGAGACAAGGAAAAGGTGAGGTAATCGCCATTCCGTGCAGGTGTAGCTAAGTTACATGCTTTTTCATGGGACTCGTGTTCAGCAAATGGGTGCATTAACATGTTCTGAGGGTACAGTTTTTGGTCCTCTGAGGTCAAAATGTCACCAAGTGGACACTCATGCATGCCCCGTTGGAGGGTCAGTGGTCCTAACCAGTCTTACCAGCTCAAGCTCCAACTGACTACAAGTTCCTGAAAAGCAACTAGGGCAAACATCTTGTGGTTCAGGCTACGTGACACTTGGAGGGCACGCGGTTTTTTGCAGCAATAGTAAAAGCGTGCTTGATCAGTGATGATAGGTTACAAGTTTAATGGATCTAACTAATGGTTACCCTCAATTTCAAAAGTACTCCTCTCAGAACTATTACGTTTAGAATGGATAAACAACAAGATCCTACTGTATAGCACGATGAACTATATCCAGTCTGGGATAAACCATAATAGAAAGGAATATTAAAAAAAGAATGCATTTATGTGTATAACTGAATCACTTAGCTGTACAGCACAGATTGGCACAACATTGTAAATCAACTATACTTCAGTAAAATAAAATAAAATAAATACCTAAAAATAGAATTACAAAAAAAAAAATGCTCTCCATGGTGGGACTACTGGTGATCTTTAAGTTCTTTAATGCTTTTCTACTTTTTTCCCCAACTTTCTAAAATAAACATCTGTAACATGGTAATCAGAAAAAAAACCCCACTAAATTATAGTTAAACAAAAAGAATAAGAAAAGATCAGTAATTTATATAATAAAACCCATTTTTAAAATG